ATTTTACTTTGCGTAGATATTGACGTAAATATTACCATTGTTCGTTTTCGTTTCGGGTTATTTAATGTGTACAAACAGACCGTGGTTTAGTTAAATATGTTTAATACAAGACCTTCAACTTTATTTTTTACTATTGTCAATAAACCGTATAGTGCATTACAGTATTGTAAATATTATAAAAAAAAAATACAAAACGCTATAAATGACACAGTTAGACAAAGAGGACTTCCATAACAAGTTTTGAGACTCTGAATTAGTAAACATTTGTATAGATTGTATGCTATAATATTCCACTGTATGTGGAATCGAAATCAACATTTGATTGGTTTAGACGATCCCACGTGACATTGAACAAATCTTCATATTCCCCTCTGAGTATCATATTCCCCTCTGAAATGAAATTGCCAATGATACAACTATCCAAATGATGTTAATGTAAGTGGCCTTCAACATTGAGCAACACCAATACCAAAACATTATGTTTATAAACTTTTTTTTCTATCAGAATTTTAAAGATGCAGTAATATTTTACACTTGACAAAAGCCATATGAGGGGATGAATTGAGCCTTCACAAACATGTTAAACCCCGCCACATTCTTTATGCGTTTGTCCCAAGCCAAGAGCCTGTAACCCAAAGGTTGTCATTGGTGTCTGTCAGACATAAAATAGTCTGTATTGTTGTAGTGTAAATCAGGGCTGGTAGTTTTAATTGTTTCACATTTTAGCATACCGTGCCTTTTATAGCTTACTATACATTATGGGTTTTACTCATTATCTTACGGCCCTATGGTAACCTGCAATTGTTCACATTTAAAAATTGGAGTTAGCAAATAAACATTTTATCTTCAGAAGTCAACTTTGTTATCAATGAACATCTAGACGAGTTTAAATTTGATGAATACATCCAGATTTCTGGACAAGTTGCACTTTCGTTATGATTGTTTATGAAGGTCGTTTAAACTCTTTCTCGTCGTAACAGTTTTTAACTTTTACCATTTTGATTTACCTTGAAGTTTATGACAGGAAGAGCAAATATATTCTTATAAATCAAATAAACATGTATTTGCTTGATTGATTTTGAATTGTATTTGCGTGTAGTTAGAAAAATAAATTCCATTGTGATTGTCATACAGAACAAATGACATTTTAAAAATAACGCCAACCTTAGTGCATATTTATTATTCTTTTCCAGTCTTGTTGACCGGTTGACGTAAATGCTCAAATTGTTTGTATTGTATACTTGTTATTTAATTTGTGTGAAATCCTTACATTTTAACTTGAATGTCATTTTCAAATGTTCATATGGGCACAGTAAAGTACATACTGTTTCCTATGATAAGTACTTACCTTTTTAAAAAGCAAGTAAATCAGGTCGTTAGTTTTCTCAATTGAATTTGTTTCACGTTTTTCAAGTCGGGGCCTTTTATATCCAACTATACGGTATGGTTTTTTTTCTCATTGTTGAAGGTCGTACGGTTGCCTATAAATGCTTACATCCACTTCATCTGAGCTTTCGTGAAGGTTGTCTCATTGGCAATCATACCACATCTCCTTATTTTCATAATATTCTATTTGTATTTTAAAGCAACCTTGGACTTTTTATTTAAGAAGTTAAGTCTGTTCTGGTTTGTGTGCTCGGTAATAGGTATACCATGTTTTATATTAATTTCTGTTAAAGGGGATAGGGGTATACTGCAATGAGATAGCAACCCAACTACACAAACCAAACAAATCTCTACGGTCCCCCACAGCATTCAAGAACCGATACCGTATGTCAAGTCCTATATTCTATATCAACATTAGTCTCTACCAGCTTTTAAATGGTTATGCTATATTTTTTACAAACAAAATATACCACTAAGGGTAGACGGTAAAACGAAAGCAGAACAAGCAACGCAAATACATAATATAATATTATAGACATCATCAAACAGTTTAAATTATTTAAGACATAATATTTTACAACATAAATCTTTTTGCAGGTGTCCAACCTCTTCAGTGCAAATGATCTTTTTAATGAATAGAACAGCAAGCAATTTTATATAAATATTAACACCAATGTTCGGAATGGATAACAAACAAATATATTCTGAACATCCGTAGGTGAATTTTATTTTTTCAGTGTAAAGTTGCACTACCTTCTTTTCTTAGAAATGTCCATTAAATAACTAAACAATCCTCTAGAGAGAAGAATCTACCTTATTCCTGGAAGTGGAATGGTGGTAAAAGTGATTGATTGATTGAATGTTAATGTTTAACGCCACTTATATCACTATTGGCTATATTGTGGTTGTCAGTTTTTATTGGTGAAGGAAGCCGGGGTGTCTGGAGATACCCAATGACCTATGGCAGGAAACTGGCAATCCTAGTTGATTAAGATTGGATTTGAACGCACCTGCCTCGTGCGGGGTTTGAACTCACAACCTCGGCGTTAATCGGTTAGTGATACAAGTAGATGAACTACTTATAATACCACCCGACCGCCGACACCCCTTGTGATAAAATTTACTATTACGATGACCGTGTTCTCTTTCCAAAAGTAATATGGTAAGTAATTTGAAAAGGGAATTAAAATTAAATAGTCTACAAATTGCAGTGAAAAAGACAAATATGTGTTGGTGTCAACTAGACGGATTTGTAAATTTTCCTTATTATTGGACAACTGAAGTCGTACTTTCATGCTTTTGAATGTTTGTTATTGTAATAGATAATACTTTTACATATCAATTTTAAATGGTATGGTGGAAGGAATATTTTCATTGTATCCTTATTTATTTTCAAGTGTTATATATGCCCATCTTTCCGTCCTTCCGTCATTCTGAAATAAAACAGTTTGATACTTATTTTCGTTATGCCTGTAGACACTGATCTGATTTTTTTAATATTTGTGTATAATGATAACTTACAAATAAAGTTTGAGTTTCGTTCCGGTTGACCAAATTTTGGCGAAATCAGGGCTCACTGATATAAAAATATTTCATGAAAATAAGACTGCAAGCTGTGGCAATGGTGTCGTATTCGACGCACCTCGTTTTCAATGTTTACCACTTAGCAGCAACGACAGGAGAGGATCAATTTCTAATGCTTGTTCAAACTTTATAGATCATTATTTATCTTTAATGGTACCCTTTACTGTGTCCCTATGCTGTTTTGTTAGCAACAGATTGCGATTTTTTTTAGTGAAAATATTAGCTGTTTTTATGGCTATGTGATAAAAATGGAATACATCAACGACAGTAGTAGAAAATCTAATGAATGCTAGTATCATCAAAAAAGTATCCTTAAACATAAGAAATTTTTAATATCAAATCGACTCATTTTTTCAGAGCTTTGATTGTACTATTGGTGCATTTGTGTGTAACATATACGAATGTAGTACTTTTCAATAAACTTATAAATATTCTGGTTTTTGTTTTGTCCTTTTAACAATGGAAAAATGCCATTGCATTATTAAGACTAACGTTAATATTTACAAATATGTAGAAATTCTAATAAATGCTAGTAACATCAAAAGAGATACCGATAACATGACATGTTAAATAAAAGAATTTTTTTAATATCAAATTGACTTATTTTAATTTATTCGTACGTCCTCAGAACTTTGTACTATTGGTCCGGAAATGAATGTTTTTGTGTGTAACTTATAATAATGTAGTTCTTTTCAATATACTGATAAATATTCTGATTTTGGTTGTGTCCTTTCAACAATGGAAAAATGTCACTGCATTGTTAAGACTAACGTCAATATTTACAAATATGTAGTGCATTTTCATACTAAAGCACCCATTATAGAATATCATCTATACACTTTAAATTGCGAAAAATTAATTTCAAAGAAGATGATCTAACGTGTACTTGATATTTAACTTTGATAAAATTTGAAATGATGATTCTTTAAAATTACAAATTGACATCGTCAATATACAATTGTATACGTCTAGTATCGATTGCTTTTTACATAAACCATAAGGACATTTTGCAGCAGTTAAGAATCTGCTTGGAAGGTGTCATCATATTGAATTATCGGAATCATAGGATATAAACACACAAAATTCTACCAAATGATGATAATAATAGATAATAATAATTAATTCGCCCAACGTCAATGTTCTACAATAGTTCTGTTTATTTGATGTCATGTTGTTACTTCAACGGTTATAAATGTGACATATTCATAAACAACAGTCCGCAGAATTCCAATTTATTTGATTTAAGTCCTAATACAAAATTAAAATTAAAAAATTAAACAGTTTAGCTGAATTAGAATTCAGGGTATTTTGTTCATTTTTTTTTTAGTACAAGTATATTGATTGCTGTATATTTACTACCGTATTCACGGCTTGTCATAGCATTCATTCAATGTATACAACGAAGCGAATTTTAATTAAATAAAAAAGAACATTTAGCATGTAGAGCAGGATGTGATTACCCTTTCAGAGCACCTGAGATCACCCCCGGTTTTTGGTTATTTTCGTGTTGCTCAGTCTTAGTTTTCTATGTTATGTTTTGTTTTGTGGACTGTTGTTTGTCTTTTGGTCGTTTTATTACATGACATTGTCAGTTTGTTTTCGACTAATGAGTTTGAATATCCCTTTGGTATCTTTCGCCTCTCTTTTAACACAGATACTTAGGTCGTTTTCAAAATAAATATATAAAAAATTGATATGGTCTATTGTTCCTGTGTAAATGGGATATTTTAGTTAATCCTATACTGCAAAACACTGATGACTTTACCATTTTTACTCATGTTCGTAAACTTAAAACTCGAAGCAGGATCTGCTTACCCTTCCGGAACACACGAGGTTGCCCCCAGTTGGTAGTGAGGTTAGTGTTGCTCAGTCTGATTTTCTTCTCATAGTCTTTCCATATTTGCCATGAGGTTGTCGGTTAATCTTCGACTTGTGAGTTTTCAATGTCACCTAGGATTCTTCGCCTCTGTTATACAAACCATGATAATTGACTGCTGTATGACTTATTGTAACAGGTCATAGAGAACAAATATAAAAAAATAATTCTATTTTCAAAATTCAACAGTGTAACGTAACAAGTATATCTTATTACAATTTATAAGATCAAATAGACTTGTCTATATACAATTCATTATAGTAAAAAACAAAGAAAGTCACAAAACACTACACATAATTTTAAAGATTGATAAACGTCAAAACCAAAAATTATATACTCGCGTGCTCCATAAGGATAAGCATGAATGTAAGTAGTGTTAATAAGAAATCATATTCAACGATTTAGTATCATATTAAGGTGGACTAGTAGGTGTTACACGACTTAGTCCTTTACTAGATTATAAACCAACACATTTAATTTTCAAATACTACCGTATGTTGATGTTTGAAAGAAAAATAACGGTATTCTATAGGACAAAGTTAGCTACAGAACAGTAGCTCTTAGGTCCTTTTGATATTTTTCACAATTTGCCTATAATCTATGGTCCGCAAAATAAAAAAAATATAATAAGGACCTTAAGAGTTACGGTTCCGCAGCTAGGACAAAGTAACAACACGATCACAAACGATAGAAACAACACAGACAAATATAACAAAACCTTACACATGGTGAATAATACATCACGTGCGAATTTGACAAATTTAACTTCAAAAACAATTTTGAATGGGATTAAGTTCAAAATATGATGAAAGGACCATTTCGAAGGGTTTCTGTCTAAATGTTATGTGTATATATCTCACATCTACTTTTTTTACAAATTCAAATTCCAACATAATCTGCATTGCACAGTCCCGTCTTTCTTGCAAAGAATTCACCCCATTATCAGAAAATTCGACACAAACATCAGACGTGTATTCAACATTCCTTCTTTCTCAAAGGAATATATCGTTGTAGTAATTGTTATTGGTTTATTGTGATCTATATATATATATATATGTACAAATTTTTGCACCTCATGTTTGCGGTATACCATCTATTCCGGAAGTTTATTGTTTTCTGTTTGGTACTAAATTATAATTTAATGTATCTAAATTATAATTAAAATACATTAAATTATAATTAAGATCCATTTTGTTACATCTTGTGATCCGTTTATTTGGCAATCACCAATGGCAGTCAGCAGGGTTTAAGAACATCCGTTGTTCGACCTGTTAGTCAAATGCGTTTTGTTTAAATATACTTTTTCACTTTTTTGGTCTATTGGAAAATGTTGTTTGTGCTGTATTTAGACCCCTCTACTAAGAAATTTGTTTTGCATGCACACGTATAAAAATTGCGGTTTTTATCCAACGCAATCATAGGTTTGAACGATGTTTTCAATTTAGACTTATATATATCTATATATGTATGTATATAAATGTATTCAAATACATGTAGAACAAAATAATATCACAGAGAAAAAGGTTTATGCCATGTCAAACTGTAATATGTCTGAATTCATAATGTTGTTCATTTCTTTTTCAAAGTCTTTAAAGCTTGTGTATGTATCTGGCAGCTCGACCATGTAACTACACGTATGGAAAACGGGTCTTCTTTGAACCCCACCTAGTTCAGAAAATTCAACTTGAATTGTTCTTTTTGGCACACAGCTCTGTCCGGTTATCAGCTGAAGTAGTAACAGTAAATCTTCATCCCCTAACTTTTCAATAAATTCTTGAAAGAATTCGTAAACCCTTCGTCGTCGCCTTGTTAAATCCCCAAATGGAACTACAGGTTTCAGACAGTTCAGGATTTTTTCAGCTGAAGGTTTAAGTCTCGCGTGCAAAAGATCAATATGATCAACCGTAAGGTGGCACCAAAATCGGTCAAAGTGGTCTTCCGGTATTCCTTGTCTCATTTTCTCGCACAAAGCCCTTGGTTTTACGCAGAGTTCATTACGAGCTATTTTGAGAAGATGACTTCTGAAAGAATCAGGCCTGAGCATGCAACCCATTTCATATCGAAAGAACAATTCTTGTAGATCTCTTACTTGGTTTTCAGAAAGTTTGGAAAAATCATCAATGGCTTCTTTAACCAACTTTCGATCTTTCGTGTCAAGGTACAACAGGAAATCTTCAACTAAAGCGTGTTCCTCTATTTCAGTGGTGTTATAAACCATTACCATTAGCACACTAGTACTTATTTGAATGGGTAGGAAGCCAAGTATTGCTGTACTGTGCGTTAAAATTCTACCCAGCAGAAGAAATTTGTTTTCATTCTCCATGTTGACAAGGGGAAGGTATGGAACATGAACAGAATCTCCCTGAAAAAAAGCAGACGATGTGGCATTCCAAAACGTTGTAAATACGTCACGACTGACTCCTCCCCAGTCTGATCCGCCTTCTCCTATCAATTTGACGTGTAAACGGGAACTCACTACATTAGCATCTGTGTAGATATTCAGCATGTCCTCAATAATATGTGATCTTCGAACTTGTACTTGGTTTTCAGTAGTACTTACTAATCTACTCAATTGCTTAAGACCTATATAAAAAAAAGATAAAACTTGAATGAAATTCGTTAGATTTTAAAAAAAGACTATTTTTTTGCATATATTTATACAATCTGAACCGATGTTCTTCTAACGAAATGTACGTATTTTTTTAACCCCTTCGCCCCCAATCCCGCCTGTTAGTCGAGATGGCGACCACCATTCTGTGATGGCCTGTATGACCCTCCATAGTTTTTTAGAACTGCCACAGCTCAGCTGTCTTTACAGCAGGGACTTCAACCGTGCAATTCATGGTCCATAAACTCTTCTCAGATGTATGATTATGAAAATATGGCAACTTTAATGGCCTTTCTACGTTACTTGTATGGGCTGTAGGTATTAACTATTATCATAAATACATGCATAGATGGTACAGGAACACAAGGAGGTATAATATGGCCAACAGAAATCTGGTCTGTAAAATCTATGTCACCGTTTTGTCAGAAATCGGTAAAAACGGACATTTAGGCATACTTGGCTAGCCAATAATAATTCCCCAGCAAGATTCTCAAGTCACATTTACTTCCAGTCAGTATGGATAGACTGCTGTAACTGTAAGGTAATACTTGAATGACAAAGAAACACAGTTTAGTCAATGTTCACCTCTCAAGGTCGTATTAAAATCGAAAAATAGTCTGAAAATGACAATTTTTCAGTAGGGATGGGTTCAAACCCACCAGAAAATATACAATTTCGCACCCCACCACCCACCCATGCCATCCGCCTCCAAATCTCAATACATAGTTTAATAGATCAGCATCAGTTACAGCATGAAGAGTCTACTAATTTGCATATAATTTGCATAAGTTTGCAAATTTTCGAAAATGCCTGATTTTCCAGAAATCTCTTTGGGTCGAATGAGTTAAATGTATCTTGAAGATTGAAAGTTTATCATGTGGTTGGAGATTCACATATATCTTGTATAATATTTCACCATGATAAAAAATGTTAACGGATTTTCTTCATTTCTATTATACAATCTACAATGTTTAAAACCGACACACTTACATGTTTCCAGTTCGATAACTAAGGCTGGTTGATTTACTCCACTTGCAGAATTCGTTGGTATGGATTCATTAAGGACGACTTCATTTGTTCCTGTGGCACCAGATAAAATATCTGCCAAAAAAAAACATTATATTGATCAATTAAATTGTCATATGAGGGTCTGGATGGGGGTCCTTCATTTCTTTATTCTTTATTTTTCTACCATTTTCTCTATTCTTAATTTATTTTGCCTGCTTTTTTTCTCTTTTTCTTCACTTTTTGCCGTTATTCTGAACTTTTTATCCATCATTCTCAAACCCATCCAGACCTTTGCAAATGTATGAATATATTCTAAATTAAGTGAGACACTTTATAAATAAATATTTCTGGCAATTATATTCTTCAGTGTTATTACTATTTCTCCTCAGAAGAATATCATTTTAAAACAAATTCCAAACAATGATAGCTATTTTAACCATAGTAGTGTAAATGATTTCCTTACCAATATCATTTGTAACAGCGCCCTGGTTATCTGTAGAAAAGGTCACCCTTCTCTGTTGTTGTGGGGTCACAGTGGGTGTGTCTTGGACACTGTAGAGGTTAAGGATATTCTGTAGATCGTCTTCAGTTGTACGTCTTGTTCTTCGCAGTCTGCCAGGGATTTCTAAATCAAGGGGTTCGTCGTCGCTGTCTGCTATAGAATAGACAAATCTTGTAAACTAACAACAGATATTTCTTTTCCAATAACCAGTCATTTCATGGTATATATGCAGTATTGAAATGTTTGTTGGCTTGGATTATTGATTTGTCAAGATTCCGACTAGATAGTGTATGGAGATGATCGATTTGAATTCGTCGTTTGCTCTTTTCTGGTGGGTCAGTTTATTCTCGAGTAATGGAATAAGCGATTATTTTTATTCCACTTAATTTGACAAACATCACTCCTTGAATTAAGAAATTCTAGCAACCCTTATTTGTAAGTAAAACTGTACTGAATTTAAGACTGGGATGACAAAATTTCATAAAATCGTTACCAAAATTCAGCAAATGGAAAAATCATAAGATAAAGACAGCGTTACTATAAAATTGTTAAAAACGACATGTAAGATTACCTTTCTTGCACATTTTACAGCATTTATCTTTGCAACTCTCTTGACAACTCTCCGTAACTTCTTCACAACATTCTAGTAAAACATCACATTGGTCACAACAACAGCTACGTACAACATAACATCTGAAATTTAATTATACGGCTTAAAATTTAATATATTGTTCATTCTTGAATTTTGATAAAAGGAAAATGGTATTTTTTTTTAGTTTAATTTGGATAATATAGAAAGCAAAAGCTATAGAACATGCCATTAAAGTATATAATGAATTCATAAGAGTTCACAAATGAAAGTAACATAAATTGTTCGTGCTCGATTGGTGAATATATTAACATGAGGGTAGTGAAGAATTTAATGTATGAAGAAGAAATTAGAAATTCAAATATGTTTTTTAACTCACGTGCTCTGTCCATGGTCTCTTCTTCGCCGGTATATCCTGTAAAATAAGTTTCATTTTATATTTTAGTGTCCTTGGTTGGAAAACAATCCCGTCATCTTTATCATACAAATCATCAAAAACGATTATTCTTGTCATAGGCAACACAGTATAAATGGTGCCACTGGCTCGATAACTTTTTCAGACTAAATAGAGTTAATGAGAAAGGAAGGATAAACATTGGATTATCTTAATTAAGACAAGCAGTCCATATGAATGATCAATGGAATATATCGCATGAGCTTGCTGTCAGGAATTTGAGGAATTCTTTGACTTTTTATCATAAAATAAGGAGATGTGGTTTGATTGCCAATGTGACAAAGTTCTATCCATTAGTCCAAGTCATGTAAATTTAAGAAACTATAGATCATCATACGGCCTTCAATAATGAGCAAAACCCAAACAATACAGTCAGTTATAAGAGACCCAAAACTTAACAAATATGAAACAATTCAAACGAGAAAAAAACATCAACCCGATTTCTGACATTCCAATGAACGAAAAAAATTTGACAGACAGCAGCCAACAACTGAATAACAGGCTTAATTTTGTTTTCTGTAGATGTGCGTTGGGGTTTTGTCTTCCAGAAGTTAAAATAAAGTCAGCAAATTAAAACATAACTAAATTTGTATTCTTTTCAAACGGGATGTATAAAGACACACCCACGTTCATTTTGATCTATAAAGAGGTTAACTCCTAACTATCCTACTGCCTGTCGATACATTTATTTTTGGCATTGCACAAGTCATGTCTTCTTTGACTGTCCATGACGTAGAATTCTAAATCCCTGGGATGTGTTTTAGTTGATTTTAGTCTCTGATGCATGATTTTTTTTTATTATTAATTGTTTTTTGCTTTTAACTAGCTGTCAGTAACTGCGAATACTCTCAAATCGTAATTTCTTGTTTATTTGACCTGTTGATACTAATTGTAATGATTTTTTGTTAATGTTATTCAGGGTTATATCTGGTCTATATACCAGCTTTGATAAGTGTTTGGTATAACTTTAAATTTTCACTTCTTCGTACTATGAACATCAAAATTATTTATTTTGTAAAAATATTTCCTTTCTCCATTTGAACTGTACACGTATACCTAACAAAAAATTTCATTTACCTGTGTTTAAAGTAATTGCAAATGGCTGATATTTTTGTTCAAGCATATTGTTTTTCTTAAATTGTTTAACATTTCACAGCGGTATAACATGTTACTTTGATTATTCTTCACTTAGTTTATTTATTTTGTATTTACATTGCATCATAGATCAATTTATTTGTTCAGTGTATGTTCACTGGTGTTAATATGTCTTTTGATTGAGTTAAGCCATTTCAATTGATATTTCATAGTGTGTCTTTCTATGTTGTGATGTTACACTACTGTTTCAGATAAGGGTGAAGGTTTGGTACCATTAAAAAGTTTAAACCCGCTGCAATTGTTTGCACCTGTCTTAAGTCAGGAATCTGATGTTCAGTAGTTGTCGTTTGTTGATGTGGTTTATAAGTGTTTCTCGTTTCTCGTTTTTTATATAGATTAGACCGTTGATTTTCCCGTTTGAATGGTTTTACACTAGTAATTGTGGGGCCCTTTATAGCTTGCTGTTCGGTGTGAGCCAAGGCTCCGTGTTGAAGACCGTACTTTGACCTATAATGGTTTACTTTTATAAATTTTGACTTGGATGGTGAGTTGTCTCTTTGGCACTCCTACCACATCTTCTTATATCTATTCAACAACAGATAGGTGTCAAGCTCTAAATTGTCCCGAATCTACAAAGGTATGAATAAATATAACATAGACTTTGAAAGATATCCCTTCAAGAACACATTTTTTTTTTAAAAATAACTAAAACAGTAAGATTTGAAGTGATTTAGAATTTACCATGTGATTTTGGCGACTATCCAATGTTTCAATCACGCATATTTAACATTAACTTTGTACTAGGTTTTTTGTAATTAAGTTATTTCACCAATGATGAGAGAGGTGAGTTTTTGTTATACATTCTTAAACACTATAGCAATAAACAGTTCATTTTATTGTACTCACTTGAAGTAAGTGTAGCCAAGAATACCGAAAACAAAAACACCTAAAACAAATATTAAAACGAATGGTACATTCATTGAACATATTCGAAAGGCTTTGTCCTTTCACAATACCAATTGCTAATTTTTTTACCAAAATACAGTGTGAATTCATCTGTACAAACGGACCAACTGGTAAAGCATTTTAGCTCATGGCCTAGTTAAAGGTTGTCAGTATGAAACAAGTGTAATGAAATAAAAATAATTCTGACATAACTTTTTAGCAATTATTGGTATTGTGAAATAGGAAAGCCTTTTGAGTATGTGCATTTACTACTTTAAGGCTATTGCAACTAGTTACATTTATCTGATTGAGAATTTGCATAATTTCAATAAGTAACGCAGGCAATGGTGATCATTTTCACTTTATTTTGATATGCCTATATAAATTACAATGTTTATATTATAATGTCCAGAGAATATCGTTTCCCCTTTCATTTATTGATGTGGATTATCTATGTCACAGATAACCATGGATATGTTCCATTTGCCGTAACGAAAATTCCATCCCTCTTTCTTCAATTTTGGCATCTCAGAATGCGACTTATTACCATAGGTGCGTAAGGACAGGGTCCTGTGTTGAGCCCCATAGTCCATTCTCTTCATTATCATAAATCCCCGATTTTCGAATATATATCAGTTATTTGTACCATAACAATACCAATATGCCATATTTTTACTCTGAATATACATGTACTCGAGTGGCACTTTGATAGTAAAAATGTATATTCGGGTAAAGATATGGCATATTGGTATTGATATAGTACAAATAACTGGTATATATTGGAAAATCAGGGATTTATGATAATGACTGGGAGGGACTATGGGGGGCTCAACACAAAATCCTGTCCTCACACACCTTTGGTTTTTGATTGGCAAATAGTTCTCACTTCTTTAATACATAAGGACTTACTAGTTTAACCCAGCCACATTCTGTATGTGCCTGTCCCAAGTCAGGAGCCTGAAATTCAGTGGTTGTCGTTTGTTGCTGTATATCATATTTGTTTTTCGTTCATTATTTTGTACATAAATCAGGCCGTTAGTTTTTTTCGTTTGAATTGTTTTACATTTGTCATTTCGGGGCCTTTTATAGCTGACTCTGCGGTATGGGTTTTATTCATTGTTGAAGGCCGTACGGTGACCTATAGTTTTTTTATTTGTGTGTCATTTTGGTCTCTTGTGGAGAGTTGTCTCATTGGCAATCATATCACATCTTCTAATTCTTAATAGTTAAAATATTCTTCCTTGATACAAATGCATAACATATATTGTTTTTAAACTCTAGACGATTCCATATCTTTTAATTGTTTTACTGCTTAACAGTAACAACTTATTTATCAATTAATTGTAATTATATTTTTATCATTATTATCATTCAAGTTCTACCAAGCATTCTGTGCAATTTTTAAAGTATCTGATTTAATTCCAAATATTTCAAACGCTCAGCCATCCACGACGTTGTAAAATTTTAAAATATCACATTTCTCGAAAGGAGAAGTATCATATTTCACTTAGTGCAGTGGTTCTAATTTATTATAAATTTTAAAATAAGTGTTTTGCAGTGGCTACATAATATGTATACATACTTAAAGATATTCCAGCTATCACATATCCTGCAGTCTGAGCACTTTTATCGGTTTTAGAATCAGACTTTGTAATTACATTTGGTCTCAAAACACCTGTGACAAATTAAGTTAAATATTATGTATTTTGTATAAATATTCAGATTCTCACTTAACATAAAATGAAAGAATTATCTCTGAACAAGAAGTTATGTCATTTTCAAAGATTTTTTTCAGTTTACTATACTAATGAAACGTTTTAAATGTTAAAGTCATGTTTTATTGACTGTCCTATCTAAGCCATGTCGTATTGGCTTCCAAAATCTTTGCTTTCAAGCGAACCTAACGCGGGCTATCCCAGAAACACGAGTTTTGGATGTTGTAGGGTCAGTGCTTCTGTTGGTAACCTGCTATACCCAGATGGTACTATCTCGTAGAAGCCGGTCTTTCGGTTTTAGTATGTGCATTAGGAAAATTACGTTTTGACTTAATTTTCAGTCAAAAATAAGGTAACTGTACTAAACTTTGGTTTCAACTCCCTCAGTGAATTTAACTTGAGACAACGTTGGCTGCTATGTTTATGTCCTTTATGGTTAAGATGCTCTTAAACGTGTTATCTATTTGGGTTCTTAAACATTTGATCTTTAGTGTATCTGGTTAATAGTGTCTTCGGTGTACCTGATTGAACATGTCTTCTTTGTATCTTTTTAATATGTCTTCAGTTTATCTGAATAAACATGACTTCAGTTTATCTGATTAAACATGTCTTCTGTGTTTCTGATTACACATGTCATCAGTGTATCTGATAAAACATGACTTCAGTGTACCTGATTAAAAATGCCTTCATTGTATTTGATTAAATATGTCTTCAGTGTATCAAAATAAATATGGCTTCGGTGTATCAAAATAAATATGTCTTCAGTGTATCAAAATAAATATGGCTTCGGTGTATCAAAATAAATATGTGTTCAGTGTATCAAAATAAATATGGCTTCGGTGTATCAAAATTAATATGGCTTCAGTGAATCAAAATAAATATGGCTTCAGTGTATCAAAATAAATATGGCTTCAGTGTATCTGATTAAACATTTAGTCTTCGGTGTATCTGAATAAACATGTTTTCAGTGTTTCTAATTAAACATGTCGTCTTTAGTGCATTTGGTTAAACCTGTCTTCATAGTATCTGATGAAACATGTCTCCACTGATTAAAAATGTCTTCAGTCAACTCTTTTTTTAAGATGTTTTACTGTTTGGCTGTAGATAAGAAGATATTTTATTGTAGAGTAAATGTTGCAATCATTATCAAACTTACATTGCTTATGAGGATGGGTTGATACAGATGGGTTCCATTCTCCAGGACTTTCTTTCAGTGAACATAAAACAGGTCTTGAATTTTTTAAGTTGCAATCAAAGTCTTTGATAATCAGAAAATTTCCATCTGGGAATACTTTGTAACTTGCTGTGGTAGAATACAACCATGATACGTTAAACTGAGGAACATAGTATGGTGGTCCTGCAGATAAACTGTTTGTCTGACAGGTTAAGTTGAGGGTCATCGTGTGTCCCGAAAATTCTGTCTTCAGAGCTAGTATAGATGGTCTCAAAGGTGGTTCTGAAATTAGTTGATAATAATGGAGCATTGATGATGTTATCACCTGTTACTATGTTTTATAATCTTTCCTTTCTCATCTAAAGTCAGTATGTTCCATTTAGACTTTTGAGTTAACTTGGTGTTTTTAAACATTTTATTAATGTGGTTAGACTTATCGCATACAGCGGTACATATATGATTTTCAGATAATAACAAGTTTAATAATCAAAACCCAATTTTGTGACACAAACTTTCCATTATATTTGATCTAAAATCTGCCAAGATCTATCAAAATATCAAATTATATTTTAGTATTCAGAGGAAGGTGCTTTAATATAATGAATAGACTGTTTAAACGTAACTTGTATTATTACATGTATGCCTGTAAAATCGTGATTAATGAATTCTGGTGTGAAATATTAACCTCTATTGTAAAAGCAGCTTTGTTGCCAAGGGGTATCGTTAGTAAATTTATACATACCTACGACAATCAGTGTTATAGCATCTCTTCGTTTGTTTTGGTCTGATACACAAATATATGTACCATTATCCTTTTCGGCTATATTGTACAAGGTAACACTGATTGATGAAGTGTTGATATCTATGGCATGTTTTAAATCAGATGTTTCCAGTAATTGTCCATCAGGCATGTAGATCTTATAGTCTCTATGGTGGACCATCCAAGTCAATGTAGTGTTATCGTGTAGTTTGGCATAATGGTTACCACTGTTTCTTGTCACAACTGAAAGGGAAGAAAATATACCAGCTTTGAGAAATGTCAGCTGTTTTCAAGAAATATCTTACGAGTTAAAAATCTCATCAATGATACCAGGCTTATAATTTGGTATGCAAGACCCGCTTTCGTCTACATTAGACTTATCAGTGACATTCGAATCAAACTAATTGGAAGGCCGAATCAAATACGAAGTTTAAGAGCATTAAAAACCGTTATTTGCGTAAAATTGTCCCAAATACGACTACAGGGCTGGTGATACCCTCGGGCGAACCAAATTGTACGCAAGACTCGCGTTTCGTCTTCATAAGACTCAATAGTACGCCCGAATAAAAACAGTTGGAAGGCAAATACGAAGTTGAAGAGAATTAAAAAATCGAAAATTTCGAAAAGTTGTGCCAAATACGACTAAAACAATCTATGCATTTGGGCTGAAAACCCTTAGTGTTTCGAATAATTCAACATTTTATAAGCAGTATATTTACAAAGAATGAAAATATCAATGATAATTCATGTCAAAACAGAAGTGCAGACTACTGGGAAGCTGATACTCTCGAGGACGAAACGTCCCCAAGCAGTGGCTGTAAGATTAATTGTTCGTTATATTGAAAAGTTCATGAGTAACGGGTAAATATTTCTTGTAATATTGGTTTATATAAAATGACTGAAAGGAATTTGTTCTAAAAAATGTTAAAAATATAGAAACTCTTTATAAAATTTGAAATAAAACGATTTGAGAAATCTAAAATTAAAGAGTACTTTAAATTCAGACATTTTTTGCGATGTTTTTATCATTGCCGTAATGCGAGATGTGTTGAAATATAAAAACTCGCATTTTAGATTGTTGTAGCTTCATTTGTATGAAGTATTTCCTGTAATCGCAATAATTAATCTCACATTTGTGTCTATTATTTGACAATTGCAATAATAAATGCACGCAATAATTTCTGAATTTACAGTATATATATAATCTATGAAAATCAAAAAGATAGTTTGATATGTTCTAATGTTCTATTCAAAATATTTACTTTTGTTTTCTGTAAGACTGAATGAAGATCTGCCACCGTAATATCCACATCCCCACAATCCAGTTGAATGACTTGCATTTCGTGTAGTGTTTATCCTGAAGGTCCGAATATGCCCGGATGTCTGACAGTTCCAGCTTATCAATCCTCGTCCGGTTGTGACGTAACAAGGGTGATCTATTTTAGCGATGATATTATCCGTCGTATTTTGGAAGAAGAAGACAGAAGAAGTATAGATATTCTCCGCTTTACAGCACATTAAAAAAAGCCTGTCTGCTACTGGTACTTCACATGGATATCCTAATATTTTTGGAATCTCGGGCAAACCTGGCAAAGAACATTAAAAGGGCTAATGTTAGACGCTAGGGAAACGTATGCCTTAAGTTTAGTAAAATGTTATATTTGTTATATAAAATATACATATTAACATCTTTATTCAGACAATAATACTAATGATCACTTAAATTGGTATTTCAATGTACAGTATTTGCTGCACAATGCTCGAAATGAGTGAATTTTCATCTGTATACTAGTATATATATGATTCCAAAATTTTGTACTTGGTTGATTGATTGATTTAAAGTTGCTTGCTTAAAGTCCAGTGGCAAAATAACAATTATTCGGGGATGAATGGCGGGAAATTTGATTGCCACTCGCAAAAGAGGGTATGTCCGAGGAAAACAATATTTTTGTTTCGAAGAATTATGGAATTCAAACGATCCATGTCATAAATTTGTCTACAAGAAAAGGTTACCATGTCCTTTGACCGATTTTGACGGAGTCTGATCCATTACCAGATTTTACTATTTAGTAATACGACGGATGTCTCTGGATATGCTTACCCTTTCAAAGAAGCTGAAATTCTCCATTTGTTCATGGTGTTGGCCTTTAGGTTCAATGTTGTGTGTATATTTTTTCCACCGTTTATCTTTATTGTTGCTCTTGGTTTAACTGTCTCGAATGATCCTTTGGACTCCGATTTTAATTCTTTAAAGTTAACATTTTACTTTAGTGTGTTTGGTATCGCGTACCTATTATTGTTTGTTCAGCATCTCCTGCCGTTTTTCTAGTTCGATATCTTTAGCCTGTTTGTGTTTGTTCGGTATCTCCTGCCGTTTTTCTAGTTCGATATCTTAAGCCTGTTTGTGTTTGTTCGGTATCTCTTGCCGTTTTTCTCAGTTCGATATCTTTAACCTGTTTGTGTTTGTTCGGTATCTCTTGCCGTTTTTCTCAGTTTGATATTTTTAACCTGTTTGTGTTTGTTCGGTATCTCTTGCCGTTTTTCTAGTTCGATATCTTTAGCCTGTTTGTGTTTGTTCGGTATCTCTTGCCGTTTTTCTCAGTTCGATATCTTTAACCTGTTTGTGTTTGTTCGGTATCTCCTGCCGTTTTTCTAGTTCGATATCTTTAGCCTGTTTGTGTTTGTTCGGTATCTCTTGCCGTTTTTCTCAGTTTGATATTTTTAACCTGTTTGTGTTTGTTCGGTATCTCTTGCCGTTTTTCTAGTTCGATATCTTTAGCCTGTTTGTGTTTGTTCGGTATCTCCTACCTGTTTTTTGTTCATCTCTTATCTGTTTTTACTTACCTTTGCACCCAGTAAATACAGTTATAACTAACAAACTGAGTGGGGTTAAGAACTTCATTCTGATTAAAAAATATTCACATCTGTAATTAAAAGGTGTTTGCTTATGTCAAATGTTTTCTGCGTTACAATACTACATTTTGTATAAAAATAAGAAGATGTGGTATGATTGCCATTGAGACAACTCTCCACCATGCAGAGACCAACTGTCGTAGAAGTTAAAAACTATAGGTCCTCGTACCGTATACTTTTAACTATTTCGTAATCATTACAGAAAATATGTATTTAGCCATTAAATAAGATTTCATATACCAGCAGAATATTTAACATGTCACATCCGAGTACACTAATTACTTGTGTTAATTTCTTAATAATGTTAGTTGATATATCATGGCATAAATTTGTTTAATGAACATTTTAAAACAAAATTGAAGATACGTAAATCTGTAACACTATCGAATGATTGTATTATTTATTTTGCATATTCAAATCTCTTAAGTTCTAAACATAAACTACGTTAAAAAACGTATAATTTCATTTATTTTCCTAAAATGAAACAAAAGAATTATGTACATGTTACGTTTTAATTTAATATTTATACATGCCCTTTGTCTGTCGTATTCAGCCATATTGATCTAATTATATACCAACTAACCCTTTTTTGGAATAACCGAGTGGTTTCGGTTTAGATATGTACCAAACATTTTAATCTATATTTAGATGTATAATTTTAAATGTAAATTTCCAACCTGTTTACATACATATAAGTAGATAAAGAGCAATCAAAGTGTGACCAAACGTTACGTTCCAAGATGGTTCTCCTTTCTTTAAATGATTCAAACTTTTGTGACTTTGTTAATACCACTTGAAAAAGGGATACATTGGATACAGTTAGGTCTGTGTCATTCTCCGGCTTATAACTACATAGAAGTTTGTTCCAACTAATGGAATAATGAAAAGCAAATAACTATTGAGTTACATAGATATGATCAGATATGCTCACAATCTGACTACCTAGGGTTACTCATACTATTTTTTAAGTTTGTCAAGTGATTCATTAAAGCTACCAACTATATGTACTTGTCTTGTATTTTTCAGATGTTGCTATATATGGACTAACTACCTTAAGCTTTGTATATGATATTGATATATATATTTTGACAATAAACACATTACAAAATAAAATCTACAGTGAGCGTTTATAGTGTACTTTACGAATGATTTCAATGTTTTATTGTTTATTAATTGTCCGTTTCAATGTACATTGTACATGTAGTAACATTCCAGCAGCACCTGCATGTGTATGGAGAATATATCTCCCAGTTGATACCTTATTCCAAAGCTTGCATTCCTAGACAAGGGAGCTACTGAAGCAAATGCTCTTAATTGTAAAGCTGAAGTCATCCATACAAACAATTTGAGTACGCCATCGTGACTTGGTTGACCCTTGGGGAAAATCTGCGTGACAGATAACTACATATATGTTTTGCCTTAGGGATATAACTGTCCTCCTTTTTCTCGTTAATGGCGATGCGGATTATCACCGAATGTTTACTTGTCATGAACAATACGACGAAACCTATTAGTGGAATAGTAACTACTTTCTCACCGGAGCACCTGATTTCACTCAAGGGCTTTAATGAGATTGTTTAATCTAGTTTTCTGTATGGGTTTTGATGGCTGATATTTGTTTTTTTCGAGTTTTTGGTCATTGTGATTTTTGTCCTTCTTCAGCTTCTTCTGATTTGATTGAATCATGACAAAATATGTAGAAAAAATTAAATTCTATATATCTTTTGTGTTGTTGTGTTGCTGTGTATTGACGTTTATCCGATATCTCCTTTTAGTCATTCATTTTGTTTTACAGAAGATCAAAATACAGCATTACAAAACAACATGCTTTTGGATGTTGTTGGTTGCTATCTGCCATATTTGTTTTTTTATCGTTTAAAATAAACCAGGTCGTTAGTTTTCTCTGTTAATTTTATAGCTTTCTATATGGTATTGGGGTTTGCTTATTTTTTAAGGCCGTACGGTGTCTTATAGTTGCTTAAATCCAAGTACTTTGATCTATGTTGAATATTTGTCAAAAGGCAAGCATACCGCATGTCCTTATTCTTATATAATTATTAAGTATATCATGTAAAAAGTTTCCTGCCCAAAGTTCATTTTTAATGCAATTGTAGTTATTTATTGGTACATCTTGATCTTTTGTATAGGAAATGAATTATGCTACTTCAAACACAGGACGTTATTGTGGTTTTATTTGCACGATTTACAAGGACGTTTTAAGTTGGTATGCGGATCACTTTCCTATTGTCTTAATGATTTCATTTCCTGTTTGTTAGATGATGATGTATTAATATTTGTTTACTACAGTCAGCTGCAATAAGCAGACAGTAGTAAACAGATTCATGAATTGGACTTTTATATCCCTTTGGTAATTTTCGCCTTTCGTTTTCAGACCCTTTCCGTCCTTTGTAACGGCTGGGCTACGTAGTATGTGCATGTAGCTGTTGTCAGTGAAATTATAAACAACTAATAGGAATAAAATTAGATAGCAATATGCAACAACAAGAAAGTTCGAGAGGTCAATATATGACCTTCAATGAAAGGCAAGTATCCATTCCATAAGTCGCACTCTAACTTCTATACAGTCTAGGCAAGCTGTGATTGAAATCAACAAAAATCACTTCAGAATTTGGGAGAAATCAGTTAGCACCAAAAATGTGTCCTTTTGCGCCACAACTCATTAATAACACGTAAGAATCACGTGTTTTCAAACTACCTAGTGTAACTTGTACCAATTCTTAGATAAACTATTAAATTTATTAAAACAATGACTCCCTCTTCGGTTTATTTATCTTTTTTCAAACTTCTGGAATTTCAACGGTAAATGTTTCTTTTCTGAACAATGTAAGTTTCTTACGGTTGTTGCAATTGTACTCTGTATGAAGAGATCTAATTGGAACAGTAATGCAATGCTTAGCTGTATTTTATTTATCCGCTCTAGATCTTCTTTATACAATAATAGTCCTGTTGATTCCATAAATTGTTGCATTTAAAGAACAATACTTTACTAAGGACTGAAAAATGTAAAAGGCAGACAGTAATAATTTGATAAATATGCTTAAAGGTAATTTGGTTATCTTAGTGTATGAAATTTGTAAGAAGAAAAAATAGTAACTTTGCAAACATTATATACTTGAATAGATATTAATCTAAAACAATACAATAGAATTTAATACACAGAATCACTACATGCACAAGAAAAAGCCAAGAGCAGGGGAACAGCGGCTTCTTTTTTTTTGTTACTGTTTTTCATCTCAAAGTTACAGTGTTGCCTTCATCATGGAGCAAAAGATATAAATACAAGTATTTACAAAACAATATTTCATAAAGTAATCATATATATGCTGACATTAACGGAAGCAAGCTGCACGTACTTAGACAAACCAAGCCGTCCTACGTTTTAACATGGGTGACTGTACTTAAAAAATATCAAACAGCAATGTCATAAATATCGCAGGATACAGGATCTTGTCAAATGATCAGAACAAACCGTACAAAATCTATTATCATTAATCCCCACGTTGTCTGATAAGTCAGTAAATAGCAATTAAAGACATCTAGCATTGTACGTTTCATACTATTTTGAACAACAAAGGCACAGTAAATCTCTTTAACGTTTACACATTAGTACCAGTGAAACGTTAAACGGAAGGTATCGTAGACTACCTTAAATAAGTAGTAATATAGGTGTGCAAAAAGATTTGCTACTGTAAATCATGATAATCGTGAATACAAGAAGAGGTTGCATGCTCTTACTTTGTTATTCCACGCCTAAAACCGCTGCAACCAACTCGAAACGACAAATCTGCAAATTGAATATCGCCATAACTAGCGGCTTAAAAATGTTGGTGCTCTTTAGATGCTGGGATCTTCATTATTTTTTTCATTTTTTCGGATACATTTCGGGTACATAATTTCACGTCCTTATTTATTTCGATACAATGTACAGCCATATTCCAACCCACCTATCTCTCTCCTCCCCCTCCCCCCCTCCCCTGCTTTGTGAGTAAAAAGTCTAGTAGTGTTTGATAGAAGTTTCTATTACGGTACAGATCATCAGGAATATTGTACTCCAGAAAATTGTCGAATAAGTTTTCTGTGTATCAGCTGAGAAATATTGTCTAGACGAACGGACAGATGATTGTAATTATACCCCCTCTACCAGAGTTATAAATATAAAAAAGAAGGTGTGGTATGATTGCCAATGAGACAACTCTTCACAAGAGACCAAATGACACAGAAATTAACAACTATAGGTCATCGTACGGCATTCAACAATGAGCAAAGCCCATACCGCATAGTCAGCTATAAAAGGCCCCGAAATGACAAATGTAAAACAATTCAAACGAGAAAACTAACGGCCTAATTTATGTACAAAAAATGAACGAAAAACAAATATGTAACACATCAACAAACGACAACCACAGGCTCCTGACTTGGGACAGGCACATACAAACAGAATGTGGCGGGGTTAAACATGTTAGCAGGATCCCAACCCTCCCCTAACCTGGGACAGTGGTGTTACGGTACAACATAAGAACGAACTATAAAAATCTTATAAGTCTATATAGTTGTGTTTTATACCGAGCTGCAGTTTATTTGTTAGTATCATTAGACAAATACCCTAGGTTTTTTTTATATCTTTGTCTCCTTAATGGGCGATGAATTCTTTCGATTGGCAGCAAAACATTTCTCAAACCATCTAATCTATCGCTCCCTCTTCTGTCGTCCATGATCATTAAAGTCTTGCGAAAAGTTTTACAATACAATCTTAATATATTTAATAATAGTTAGTATTTATTTCATATTAACTGAACGGGCGATAAATAACAGTCGATGTGAAAGTTGATCTTTATCAAAAAGTAAAATAACAAAAATACCAAACTCCAAGGAAAATTAAAAACGGAAAGTACCTTACCAAATGGCAAAATCAAAAACTCAAACACACCAAACGAATGGAAAACAACTGTTATATTCCTAACTTGGTATAGGCATTTCTTTATGTAGAAAATTATGGATTAAACCAGGTTTTAAACGACAATGCTTTTTAACGTTGGTACGTTCTTACGTTGTTGTTCTTGCAACTTACGATTAATCATATAAAAAATGTAAGAAACGACACGAAACGTTGAAAAAGGCCAACAATTTCACTAAAACTAGTAACAGGACGGTATTTTTTAATAGCATTACCCTTCCGAAACTGAAAATGTAAATCTGGAGAAAAACATCTGATGATAGTATTATCAAAAGTTACATATATTTTTCGTTTTTGGCGAATATGTTTAGCCCAAATTTGTATTGAATGCAAGATATTCGTTTACAAACGACGAGAGAAGGAGCAATAACAACGAATGTTTTACGGCTAATGTATAATATTACAAACAAGATATGATACTAATCTGGCGATTATAAAGCTACCCCAAAAATAAGGCCTACGCAAAAATGACTGCAGTTTATTGCAATAAAGGGATTTGATTTTTTGGTAATCCCAAAGGAAAAGAAGACAGTTGTTTGGTTGTGGGCACTTCTTTTGTACATCCAATTTATCCAATTCATAAATCCCCTTTAAAGTGTACTACCGGACTCAATTTGTTTCCTTTTTTTACTATTTCGACAATCAAAATTAAATATTACTCTATTTCAATTATCATATATGTACAAAACACATGCAAGATAGACTACACCATTTTGATATTCAACAATTTTCTTTTTTTCTTTCGATATTCATTTTCCTGTTCAAAAAATGTATTTGAAATTTGCTGAATATCAAGATGGTGTAGTCGTTCATGTATAGGCCTACTTAAAATTATTCTAAATTTCAATGTCGAAAAAGGAAAAAGGAAATAACTTGAGTCCGGTTGATTTACTATCATATCAAATTCTATAGCACTAAAAAAAATCATTATTTCTGTGTGTGTATCCATATTGTTCATTCATAGCTAAAGTTCATCGTTTTGTTTATTTTTTGTTTATTTCACTGGGGGAGATGATAGTAGTCAGTAGTACGTTGAAGTTGTTTTTGATAATTATAACCCATTTAGAAATTGTGTGTTTCTGAATTTGCCAGTCAGCAATCTCGTCAGTAGTACGTTGAAGTGGTTTTTGATAGTTATAATCCATTTAGAAATAGTGTGTTTCTGATGACAGAACTTCAATAGCATCTATTTTAAGTTCATTTACAACTTGTGTTGTTTCGGGTCGATTTAGATATACCGTATGGAAGCTTGAGACTCTTTAAAGAGGGTCTGGATGGGGTCCTTAATTTCTGTATTATTTATTTTTTATATGATTTTCTCTATTCTTTATTTAGCTTTCCCATTTCCCCATATTTTAGGACTCCATTATTATATATTCTTTATGTTTGGCACGATCTACAAATAAGTCAAACAGAAGTGAAATTGGCAGTGGACTCCTGATGAAAGTTATTGTCCTCATGCATATGATGGTTTTTACCATTTTTAGCGTTTTTGGCTATAACCTTAGAAAGTACAATAGACAGAAAGAAACCTTAGACACAAAAAAAAAATGATCAACACGACAATACGTACATGCAAGTCAAACACGATAGAAATTTTCATCAGAATTCCGTTGTTAAATTATTGCCTTTAAATGACAATTAACTTTTACCATTTCTACAATTAAATATGTTTTCGAATTTGGCTGCACCTGTAACATTCTTTAAAAACGGGATATCACATCCACATTTTTACGTTCATTTATGTTGGTAATATAGCCCGGTAATTTAGCTACGATTCATGTGAACTCATTGATCCTTTGAATAAACGTATTCTCAAAGGTTATAAATTTAACACCGTTGTGAAATTATAAAATATTATTTTTATCGGTTGTAGCATTGGCTTTGTTTTTGGATGTGTACTCTATCCATGGCAAATACTCTATTACCCTTCACGGAGACGCGTACGCTTGCTCAAGTGTGCGCTTTATTATACGGATGATTGTTATGTACAAGACGACATAGTTTATTGCCATGATTACTTTGAATTTGAAATTTAAGAGACAGTAATAACAGAACATTCAGTATAATAAATTAATAACACATATCTGAGAGCCTCAGGGTGATAGAGCAGATTGTTACCACTTGGCTTCGCCTCAGTTGACAATGTTTTCTCGGGGTAACAATCTGCTCTATCACCCTCTCAGCTATGTGTCAGTTATATAATGTCTCACGTCTGTGAGAACATATTTATCAATTAGTTGTAATTGGTTTTTAACTGGCTTTCCGTATAACTGCTCTAATATCGGTGCTTTGTGCATGTCTATTGTTTTTATGTTATTTTTTGTGGGGCTTTCTGTGTGTGCCTGTCCCAAATAAGGAGCCCGTTATTCAGTGGTTATCATTGTTTCGTGTCTGTTATGTTTATTTTTGATATTAGGTCGTTGGTTTTCTTGTTTGGATTGTTTCACATTTTTCACGATGGGGCCATTTATACGGCTAACTATACGGTATGGGTTTTTCACAATGTTGAAGACCGTACAGTGACTTATACAAAGACGGCGTGCACAAAGTTGAAGGCAACTGCAAAAGGCGCTTTTAAAAGTAGTTTTATACAACCGTGTTTAAAATATCTTTTAAATAGGAAGTTTTTTTTATGATAAAATGATGAATGCTAGCCATTAAAATCCACATTACTAATAAGGTTATCAATATTAAATCTATAAAGTATGAAACCAACATAGAGAAAACGGCAAAAATATGTGAAACTTGTAACATTAAATAAGCATAAAATAGAGTTTTTGATCTAAAATTTATACAAATTCAACATATTTTCCCGCATTTTCGTATAATAGAATTTTTCGGATTCGGACTATGACGTCATACGAATTTCACCGCGAAAAAATTAAAAAACGGCCATGGTGGATGAGTTTGGAATGTAGTTCGTTATGTGTAAGAAGTAGTAATTTGGAAAGATTAATATTCGAAAATGGAAGAATCGGTAAGAAAAAATATTTAATTACCATTTTTTTTATTTCAAAATAACTTGATGTTCCAAATGTGCATAACAAGAGGTTTAAAAAAAACCTGCAAAATATGAATGATTCGATAGTCCAGGCTGAAAACCTGACTTTTTTTTAATGTCCAGCTATTATGGTACAATTCAAAGAAATAACGTTAAATAACGCTATTTTCTGAATAGGGTCCACGACATAGTCGCTTATTATATCCGGGCATTACACTGCTCTTAGCATATATTTATTTATATTTCCAGAATGTGCATATGCTACACTTTGTTGTTAAAAAAAAGGAATATGTTGAACGTTTATGTTTTAAGCTATGTGATAAACTAAGTGTCCAGTGTTTTTGTTACGCGTTTGTTTTCTGGGGAAAAATGCCAACGTCGTAAATGATTGAAGTGATTTGAAGACGTTACGTTTGTGGACTTAGCTTTATGAACGCCGTCAAATTGTTTACTTCTGTGACGTCATTTGACCTGTGGTGGATAGTTGTCTCTTTAGCAATCATACCAGTAGCAAGACAATTCGGCAGCGAGACAAATCGGCACCTTGTTTATAGACTATTCGGTACCGTTTTAGACATTTTAGAGAAATTATTGGAATCTTTGCGGCACCTGTTTAAAACTAAATCAACATTTACAGTATTTCAATTCAAGGATGACATAAATACTATGTGTTCATTACCCTATAAAATTAGAAAAAAGAAGCATTCAACCATGCATAAAACGACTAATTATAGTCTTAGATACAAGATTTTTTTATTAGTTGTTATTGTCTTTGAACTAGCTGTCAGTAACTGCGAGTACTCTCAGATCCGTACTTCAAAAGTTGTGTCTCTTGTGTTGTAATGGATGTGTAAATACCCTGCCACTTCCAGTCTGTGTTTTTGTTAGATTTTTTTCTGCTTTGTATCAATCTGATGAGTTAAGCCCTTTGAACTGCTTTTTATAGTTTGTTCTTATGTTATACTGTTTCACCAATGTCCCAGGTTAGGGGAGGGTTGGCGCCTTCAAACATGTTTAACCCCGCCACATCATTTATGTGCCTGTCCCAAATCAGGAGCCTGTAGTTTATTTGTTGTCGTTGGTTCATGACTGTCAAATTTGTTTTTCGTAAATTGCTTTGTTATAAATTAGGCAGTTAGTTTTCTCAATCGAATTGTTTCATATTTTTCATGTCGGGGCCTTTTATAGCCGACAATACGATATGGGTTTTTTTCATTGTCGAAGGCCGTACGGTTGCCTATAATTGCTTACATCCACTTCATTTAAACATTGGTGGATAGTTGTGTCATTGATAATCATACAACATCTCCTTATGTTTATATCATAGTAGCCTAAATCATTTCGTTTTTTTCCCTAACTGATGTATACTATATGCTATGCGTTATTATAAAGTTGTCAGGAGAGCACGACGTGCTGTCTTGAATGTTGAACAATGTTGAATTTTATTGAGAAATACAATTTGATTTTGGAATGCTTTGCGATTGCTTACAGCCAATCACAAGTATGATTGAAACATACATGCAATCAGAAGTCCATTACTAGACCTCTAGTAATGGACTTCTGATGCAATGTAATTATATAGACTTAAAGAGCTTACGCACTTTGATTAATTTTATGTCACTGTCACATGATTTTTTAGAATTCTATTTTTAGAACGATTGCAAAGCAACGCAAATGTTAACTTTTGGTTTTAAACAATATGCAGTTTTAATCAATCGTGAACAAGGTTTTTCTTAAACTTTTCGTTTATCACAATTGAAAGTGTTTGTGCTCCTTGTTGCAGGAGAAAAATACGCAACACTGGGTTCTGCCGCAAAGGGAGATAACTGATATCAGTATAAACAAAAAAATGGCAGATCATGTACACAAACTTTTTATCAGTTTATGTTTACTTGTGATATACAAACAAATTTGTGTTGACAGTTTAAGATATGGACTTAAAGCAAACACTCTCCACATTCCAGTGCAGAAATTGGAAGATCAGTTTGGAGAAAGGACCAGAATTATTGAAGCTGATCTTACAAAGTTGTTGACTAAAAAAGAAAGCCCAACATGGAACCATCGTTTATTTCGACGGTCAACAGCTAAGCATACAATTGCAGCAAATTACAGTACAGTTGTAGGTTCTTTTTTTTATATTTTATTTCTTTTAAGCAAACGTGACGTATCTAAATGCGATTTAGATGTTGTAACAATAATTACGTAATTAACAATTTTACACCAAATTAATGCACCTGTTATTGACATATACATGTATTGTTTCCTCTAATATAATTATGGATAATACTTCCATGGAATAATATTTTCCTTTTTCCTTCTATCAGAAGAAGGTTCTTTACTGTTAAGGCATAACATCAGGGGCTGTGCTAGTCTTAAACAGGTACACAATGTATTACACAACCAGCCAAATGTTGAAAAGGCCACTTCATGGTTATTGCAGCCAGCCAATACACCTTATCGCTATTCCCTCTTGACCCGATAATCTGTCCCGCTTGAACTTTTGACGTCATACAACAATCACTTTTCCATTGTGGCGTCAGATATTTTCTATTATGACGTCAAAATTTTACGGGAACTTTTGTGATATCCAGTAATGGCGGACAAATAGCGATAAGGTGTATATTGAATAGGGACAGATCTTTTGATGGATTTGGAAATAGTAAGAAAGTACATGCATGTTTCCAAAGCAACTGAACTGTTTCAATAATGTTTTCCCATGTTTTTCAAAGCATTTCAACTCCATAATGAAAATCTTCCCACTATTCAATATTGGTTGCAATATCTGTGAAAGAACCTATTTATTGGGAATATGCTGTGTGTTTGTTTTTTTCCACATTGGCTAGAGGTATAGGGGAAGGGTTGAGATCTCACAAAACATGTTTAACCCTGCCACATTTTTGCGCCTGTCCAAAGTCATGAACCAGCTGAGTCCTCTGATTTTGTTGGTCTTGTATGTTTTTTTAATTTTGGTTCATTTATATGTTTCGGAGTTTATAGTGTGACGTCCATTTTCACTGAACTAGTATACATTATTGTTTAGGGGCCAGCTGAAGCCCACCTCTGGGTGCCAGATTTTCTTGCTGTGTTGAAGACCCATTGGTGTGGCCTTGGGCTGTTTTCTGCTTTTTGGTCAGGTTGTTGTTGTCTCTTTGATGCATTCCCAATTTCCATTCTCAGTTTTAATACTTCCCAAAATGAGTCAGTTCTTCTTTTTACCACATAACACCACAGAACTCCAAAGTAATAATAATATTGATAATAATGCAAACTAAGGAAGCACCCTGTATGAGATATAATAAATCATGGTAAGGGGCTGTACATGTGGCATGGTAATTTTATAAGCATATTAAAGAGAAAAAACTTAAAACATACAGGTACATACCAGTTGTTGGCATGACACAGGTTATGTTCTTCTCATATATTTTATGATGGTATAATACTAAACCCCTAACAGGAGGGATTGTGCCTGATATTCATATGATGAAGACATAATCTTTCAATCAGTTTAATTGAGGTCTGGAGCTGGCATGTCAGTAACTGCTAGTAGTCTGTTGTTATTTATGTATTATTGTCATTTTGTTTATTTTCTTTTGTTTCCTATTCTGACATCGGACTCAGACTTCTCTTAAACTGAGTTTTACTGTGCGTACTGTTGTACGTTTGTTTTTTCTACATTGGGTAGAGGTATAGGGGGAGGGTTGAGATCTCAAAAAACATGTTTAACCCGCCGCATTTTGCGCCTGTCCCAAGTCAGTAGCCTCTGGCCGTTGTTAGTCTTGTATCATTTTTAATTTTAGTTTCTTGTGTATAATTTGGAGTTTAGCATGACGTCCATTATCACTGAACTAGTATACATATTTGTTTAGGGGCCAGCTGAAGGATGCCTCCGGTGGGGGGAGTTTCTCGCTGCATTGAAGACCCATTGGTGGCCTTCGGCTGTTGTCTGCTCTATGGTCGGGTTGTTGTCTCTTTGACACATTCCCCATTTCCATTCTCAATTTTACAATATATCAGATGCAATTTCTGGGATAAAAAATCAACAAAAATGTCTATTATAAAAAATACATAATGTACATATTAAAATAAACATGATCACTGTGTATCATCACCACTGGGTATAGCTACCTTTGACCATGTTGACTGGTTCTCTGTTCATTTTCTAAGGAAAATATCATTACTGTACATATACCAGCGAATACATTTGTAGTTACCCCAGGTAAATAAAGTAGCTATACGCTGCTATATATGTACAGTAATGTTGTTTTTCTTTCGATAATGAACAGCGAACCAGTCAAAGGTAGCTATATCCGGTGGTGATGTTACACAGTGATGATAGAATAAAAAACTAAATGTGGCCAAAATTAAATGCAAATACAAGTAAAAACCTGTAAAAATGTAAAAGTTTGGATAAAAAGCACACAGTAAAAAAATTCATGTCTCGATTTAAATAAGAAACAGAGTTCTCACTATTATTTCTATTGCAAAATACCAAAATTGTGTAGATCCTATATTTTTGAGGTCAAAATCTTTGGACCACCACTTTTTGAGAAGTCAAAATATACTCCTACATGTACACGTAGGTTTTTCAGGCAGGATACATTACTTGTCACAAAATCACTGCAGAACATTTAAAAAATGTTCATTCTGCCTTTTAAGTATTTCATGTAAGTATACATACATTTTTGTGTGTATGTATTAAAACAACAAAATTTATATTTATAAATTTATGATGGTTTTACAGAACCCTTACAATAAACCACATACTGTGAATACTGAGTGAAAAACTCCTTATTGAAATTATTTTGTCAGAACTGCTGATATTATTCATTAGTAATAATTGATAGTAAACATGGTAAACATGGTAAATTAAAGGTGGTTTATAATATAAAATTAAATTCCTTTTAAAAACATCCAGAGTACGGAAAAAATTATCATGTACAAATATAATAAAAAAAATGTATTTCCTTGCCCATTATTACTGATAATCATTCGGGTACCTACATGTATAACTGTATTCTCAAACAACCAATGCATTACATCGGTACGGAGATACAATAAACAAAACCCTGAAAAACAATTAACATAAATATACAAACTACATGTGTATAACAAACGAACTATGGTAAACAAGAAACATACAGAGAAGAAAATAAAAGTATGCATAAGAATAACAAGCATCTAAATGATTTGAAAGTAATACAGTGTACCACCTAACATTTCAAGACTCTTAACATGTATGAACAATGTTATCTTTTGAAACCATTTAGGGTTAGTTAGGCAAATGCTATTCTTTTCTGCATTCATTTGCTGAACATGATTATCATACATTGACTTCCTCAAGTTGTGTATGCTACTTAGGAATTAGTTTATGAAAAAGTAAAAACATATAAGCAAACAACATGAACAAGCAAAAAAACAAAATCAAAATTAGAAATAAAGAGTTTTTTTTAAATAATCAGAAATTTAGACAATCAGTCAAGCTTTACCAGATATTCTACATAAATATTTAAAATTAAAGTGTACATGTATAAAAATTACAAAATATTTACATAATGATTATAAAGAAATAGAATAAATAGGAAGGAGGACCTGGGGTGGGGTACAGGGGAGGGGTACAGGGGATGGACACTTATAATGTGATTAAATCAATACCATTTATTATAGTGAAAGAATAATCAAAAGTTCACAATGATTTATTTATTGATTGTAAACTTAAGTAATTCTTCCATTATTGAAAATGATTAAACAATAATACATTTTGTTTATTTAAGTGTCAAAAAGGCCTCTTTATCATTTTGAATTTCTCAATATTTATGATATCTACCCAAGTCTGAAGTATATACAACCAGGAAGTTAAAACAGGAATTTTCTAAGTAAATATGTCATACGATATATACCATTGTTCTAACTGCACTGTATAGGTAAAAAAAGTAATAATATCATGAATAAAGTTAATATGTATAACATTAAATATTAAAACTTTTGTATATATAAAGTTTAGAATTTCATTGTGTTTGTAACCCTAATAAAATACATAATGGTTAAATATTTCACATCTTAGTTAACATGTGTGGATGTACGTTTTCATTAGCATGATTAGTGAAAAAGATTACTTTCCATATATTACATAATATATACAATTACTACTCATTGGGCTGAGCATTGTCTCATTGATGAATATTAACATCTCCATTTATTCATATTATATAAAATCTCCTGTTTTGGGCTAAGGGAAATGTGTTTTTACATTAATGACTTGTGAAATATCTGAATGGGCCATTGGCTCTGGTCTCTATATATTCATATATTATGAGATCTGTATCCTATAATATAAATTTACATATAACATGCTACAGAGGTCATTTTCATATGGTTTTGCCTCTAACTAAATCAAATAGAACATTTACTTGTATTGTTATAACGCTGATAACATTTACTTTTTCACTTAAATTCACATTAACAAATGGATGGTTAGAACTTAGTGTATTCAATTTATCATTTTTTCTCCATGAATATGAAATAAGTTCGTGTTAACTTTATAAAAGATCTTGTGTAACACATGACAGTAGTTTAATTTGAAATATTTTAACCAGGATGTTTACCAGTTTTATAGTTATTTAAAATACATGTACTTTATCAAAGTCCTTCATAAGTTATTGAAGCATATCAAAAGTTAACATTATATTTTATGAACTTTGGTGATGTTAAATGGTTTTAAGTTTCATGGTTATTTTGAACCACTTACATTGCTCTGTTGGTGTGTGTTGTTTGGGGTCACTTGTTTAAGTAGTACACTTGACTTTTATGTAATGCTGCATTTTCCAGGGTTCACCGTTCTGCTTTGATAATGCATTGCTGTATAAAACCTGACGCAAAATTTGATTGTTTGATAATGTTCATGTGATTGATTTAAAATAAACGGAAACATAATCATTTCTTACTAGTTACTACTTTTTGTCTCCCCTGCAACGAAAGTCGCGGAATGCGAGTCAGGGATTGCTTTTCCAGCAACGGCTTCAGCGATGATGACGTCAACTATTGTTAAGATTTCTGCTTAAATTTGTTTGATAGGAACTACTTGTGATAGATCTAAAGTTGCATTGCTATCAGTACGTATCAGTTTGACAACTATTTTGAGGCCCTGTCCCCTAGGTCAGGGTCCAGTGACTTTGAATTAATAAGCAATTTTCAATATTAAGTTTTCTGCTCAAGTTAGGTAGATAGGATCTACTTGTGATAGATCAATGATATTTTGTATGAAGTCACATTACTAGTATCAGAACATATCAGTTTGACCACAATTTTGAGGTCCTGCCCCCTAGGACATGGTCCAGTGACTTTGAATTAATTAGCAATTTGCAATGTTAAGTTTTCTGTTTAAGGTAGTTTGATAGGAACTACTTGTGATAGATCATTGATATTTAATATAAAGTTGCATAAATATCAGTACATGACTATTTTGAGTCCCTGCCCAGTAGGACATGGTCCAGTGACTTTGAATTAATTAACAATTTTCAATGTTAAGTTTTCTGTTAAAGTAATATTGATAGGAACTACTTACATTAGACAAGGATATTTTCTATAAAGTTACCTTACTGTCTTTATATCTCAGTTTGTCAACCATTTTCAGGCCCTGCCCACTAGATCATGGTCCAGCAACTGAATTTAATAAGCAATGTTGCTGTCCATCAGATTGTCTATTTTTATGCCCCCGCCGTAGCGGTGGGGGCATTAAGTTTTACCCTTGTGTGTCTGTATGTACGTACGTCCCAAAATTGGTTTCCGTTCTCTAACTTGAGTTTGCCTCAACCAAATGTTATGAAACTTATACACAATACTTATTACCACAAAACACAGATTAAGTTTGAATTTTGGTGGCGTCACTTTAACCGTTCTAGAGTTATGCCCCTTTATAAATGGAAAAATTGCAAAATTTTTAGTTTCCGTTCTCTTAAGTTTGCATCAACCAAATGTTATGAAACTTATACACAATGCTTATTACCACAAAACACAGATCAAGTTTGAATTTTGATGGCGTCACTTTAACCGTTCTAGAGTTATACCCCTTTATAAATGTAAAAATTGCAAAATTTTTATTTTCTTCTAAATATCAAGTAATTTTTAAAATTGGAGTTATCTTCCTTTGTCCATGATTATAGTTGAATCAACTACAATCAATGCAATGTTTAATTTTGACTTCCACTGATAAAACACAGATCAAGTTGAATTTGGGTAGTGTCTCTTTAACCATTATTGAGTTATGCCCCTTTATAAATCAAAAGATTGCAAAATTTTTAGTTTCCATTCTGTAACTTAAGATTGCCCCAACCAAACATTATGAAACCTATACACAATATTCATTACCACAAAACTAAGATCAAGAACAAATTTTTTGTTTCCGTTAACGTTTCTAACTTAAGTTTGCCTCAACCAAATGTTATGAAACTTATACACAATGCTTATTACTACATAATACAGATTAAGTATGAAATTTGGTGGCAACACTTTTACCATTCTTGAGTTATGTCCCTTTAAAACATAAAAATTGCTGAATTTTTCGTTTCCGTTCTCTAACTTTAGTTTGTCTCAACCAAATGTTATAAAACTTATATACATTTTGTACAACCGTTCTAGAGTTATGCATGTTTACAAATTTTAAAGAAAAGTTGCTGAATTTTTAGTTTCTGTTCTCAACTTAAGTTAGCCTCAACCAAATGTTATGAGACTTACACACAATGCTTATTACCACAAAACTCAGATCAAGTTCAAATTTGGGTAGCGTCACTTCTACCATTCTTCAGTTATGTCCCTTTATAACTATATGATATGCAAGCGGGGGCATCATCTGTGTCCACATGTGGACACTATCCACATTTACTTAATTTTATGCTGACAGGCGAGACATATCTCTGTATCAACAGTTTATTTCATCTAACAGATGACTCTGATCAATTTATAGTACCTAGTATACTTTTGTTTTGTTACCTTTAATTTAATATATAACCATTCAATCCGGTTTAATCAGTCAATACATTATTTAAATTTGGTATGTTTCTATGTATTTATACACCAGATGTTACATCCACTGATCATATCCTGGATATATGAATTACAGTATTTAAATTGATAAAATTAAATTTAAACAACAGCCAAATAGAGAATCATGTGTGAATCATATTAACAACTTTGGAAGAGACTACTTCTTGAAATGGTCCTGAACAAGCATGAAATACTGGATGTTAAGCAACCGACATTAAATCAATCTTCTTCAAAAATTGTTTGGAAAGCTGTTGAAGAGAAGATGTTAAATAGAATGTCCACATGTTTTAAAGATTTCATCACAACACCAGATTATCAGACAGAAAGCAGTACTGGAAAAAAAAATCAATAATGAGCTCTGTTTTCAATGTTTAACTCAGATTTGATGTATATTATGAGGGATCAATATGTTTGCTTGCAGACTTTGGTCCTTTAGCCATAAATAGTAGATCTTTGATATATTAGTTTTGATGTCCCTAATGGAGAGACAGCCAAGTGTTTATTTTTAGTCACAAAGGCAAAGGTTGTGGTCATTGTCACTATGAAAAGATAGATTTGTGAAAATTTTCGTTTCTGTAAATACCTTAAATGAATAATCTTATCTCTTTCTTGATAGAAGGAAATCTGCACTGATATTTTGGTCTCAAGGTCAAAAGTCTAGAACACAACAGACTAAAATTAAGTGAACAATGTCCACTGCAGAGAAGAAAATATTGAATTTATGGTCACCAGGTGAAAGGTCATGGTCACAATGGCTATAAACAATAATAGATATACTAAGCCAACATTTTAATACTTATATTATTTGTGGGGTAAAGATAACACAAAGTGCTTTCGACATGTAATCCCTTTAGTCACTGTCTTGTTAGCTATATTCGAGCCATCTCCTCTACCTGTGTTTTTTTGGCACACACAACATAATGCAATAAGGTGAACATGTAAGGCAATTTATAGTTAGCATTGTACACCATGTTTTTGTACACTAAGATATTCAATTTAAAAAAAATGCTATGTATGTGTATTACAATACTTATGATACTTAAAAAAAACAGTATCTACACAAGTTACATGATGTAGTGCATGACATATGAATGATCACCTTCAAGTTCTGGACAAAGGAAAAATATTGTCTAAATATTTTATTTTAAGTTCTCGTTTCAAAATGTGTAAGCAATGTTCACCAATAGAATGCTCACAAGGACTTTGATTTGAATCAGACCAGATTCTAAGTGTTACAAATATTGACAAATTTAATTTGTTGGGCCTGTTTGTTGTGATGTCTTATATTGGCATTTTGACCTTGTCCTCACTATTGCTCTTTCCAAATTGCAGTCATCATGGTCATAGCCATGATGAAGGCAAGACATTTGTATATGTTTACTAGAATTATTATCAGGCACCGTGTAAATGATGGACTGTTGTCAAACTTTTGCTTGCTTATCTTTAGAAACCCATTGCCAATAACAGCTTACTATATATTTAATTTTCAATGTTCTCCCTACAAATTTCATATAGCATCTAGGTAAACAGAAAATTATGAAATACCATCTTGTTTCTAGAAATTTAAGCATCACTTCCCTTACACTATCTATCATGTCTATAAGGATATCATTTCAGATAGCATCACATTCAAGCAATATAACATCACATTACCATGATGCTAAAAGGCTCTGGGGAGAACACTGATTTTATGTGATAGTTACATTGTACTTTTATTTGATATTTGATAATACATTTTTTTCAGACACAACTAAATGACAGTCACACACAGATGATAGTGCACTGGGCAGGCCTAGGAAGTGATGTCATAATTGCACTGTCACGTGATCCTCGAAGCAATACACATAGTAGCAGTAACTTATTTGTATCAGATGATTATGGGAAAAGCTTTAGAAATGTGACGGGACATTTAGTAATACCAACTGGAGAGAGAGTTATCATAGATCATTATTTCAACAGTAAAACCTTGAATTCACATGTAAGTTTTGTACCAGAAGAAAATCCCTAAAGTATATCTCCACTTTAATTTTGTTAAAGAGTTACAAGAGACATATGATAGAAGAAGTGGCAGCTAGATGAAATATCAGATAACAGGCTGTCCTTGAGATTTCAATAAATATATATAAAAAATATAAATTAAAATCTTAATATACCGGTATATATCTCAAAAATGGCAAAAAATGTGTGAAAATATTCTCAAATACACATGATACCCCATCATGAAATCATTCAGATAATTTTTATTGCATATGACTTTACTAACATAATGAAGAAAAAAAAAACCAAAATCGAAGGGATTAGGTTAGTTGTAAAAGAAGTTTAAAAATAGTAAGAGAACCCTGCGTTATTTCAATATAGATATACACTGTGTTACCATTTAATGGAGTTGTCTATCTTTGGTATTACATATATCCCTGTTTTAACATATTAGTATCTTTTGAGCTAAAAGCATCAGTTCTAAAATGTTGTTCTAACCGGTATGCTTTTGTTTTTAAAAAGCTTGGTGATCTTTCACTTCTCTGCTGGTCTGTTATATTAACATAATGAATGAACTTACCAGACAAAATAAATTACTGGACTTAAGGGACATATAGTGCATTGTGTACATGTATGACAATGAAGAAGTGACAAGTAAATTCTGAAAAATTATTTAGAAAAAGAATAGACTTAGAGGGAATAAGCATTAACTGATGTGCAAATGTACAAGGACAGTTTTGAAGCCTTTATTTTGCTGTTCTTTATTCATGTTTGTCATTATAATTAATTCCATTTTCATTTATGAACACTGGTAAGAAAACAAGATGAAATTTATTTGGTACAGAAAAAGTGATGTGAATTGATTTAGCCATACATAAATTATTTTTTTTAATTTAAGTTGGTGACATTTTTATGTTAACAGATGTGGAATATATTAAGACATTTCTTATTAGCTAATTGACAAGAATTATTAGCCAATTGACAAGAATTCTTGCCGTTATCAATCCTAATATTTTGATGGGATAATTTCATGTTCAGATGGATAATGAAAACAGGATGTAATTTTCTGTATCATAAATAAATTAATGGAATGGAAAATCAATAACTATAAGGTTAATGCTGCATGTATAGGTGCAGTTAGTCAAAACAAACCATTTATAGAATTGGTTATCTTTACCACAGGCATTGCAGAAGATTCTATTTTTTTTACACAGTTACTTGTGTTGCTGTATTAAATCTCCTTGTCAATGGTATTGGTAATACAACGTACAATGGCTTATATTACAAGTTTTAGAAGGGATAAATTCTGTATCAGTAGATTTAAATACTTCAAGCTAGCTTTCAGTAACTGCAATCTTTCTTTGATGTAGTACTATTTAGTATTCTAATGCAGTCTTTATGTAACATTTTTTTTTCGTCAGCTAAAATTTACTGTCAAATCCACAATTGACATGTCTTGAGCCAAATTGAATTGCTGGAATCCGCAAATGTTTGATTAATCAAATAAATATATAATTGAAAATATAACAAGCACCTTTCTCAAAAACACTGTTTTAATGAAATATTATCCAATTTGAATTGTATAAGTAAGGGATTCACCTTCAGATTGAAAATTTTCACTTGGTTGATGTTATGTCCAAAATTTGTATTATATTATATTTGTGAATTGTTATTTCATTAAATATCTGAAATGCATGGATAGTAATTGTTTTTTTTTTTTTTTCAGTACATATTTACAGATATTATCAACAATTATACCTTCACAACAAAAGACTATGGGAAAACCTTCAGAACATTATCTGTTCCCTTCAGACCTAAAACAATACAGATACATCCCTCTAATCCTAATGTTGTCTTGGGGATGGATGAAGAAGAACCAAGGAAAAGGGTAGGTAACTCCTTGTTGGGTTCCCTTCAGACCTAAAACGTTGTATTGGGGTTGGATGAAGAAGAACCAAGGAAAAGGGTAGGTAACTCCTTATTGGGTTCCCTTCAGACCTAAAACAATACAGATACATCCCTCTAATCCTAATGTTGTCCTAGGGATTGATGAAGAAGAACCAAGGAAAAGGGTAGGTAACCCCTTATTGGGTTCCCGTCAGACCTAAAAACAATACAGATACATACCTCTAATCCTAATGTTGTCTTGGGGATCGATGAAGAAGAACCAAGGAAAAGGGTAGGTAACCCCTTATTGGGTTCCCTACAGACCTAAAACAATACAGATACATCCCTCTAATCCTAATGTTGTCTTGGGGATCGATGAAGAAGAACCAAGGAAAAGGGTAGGTAACTCCTTATTGGGTTCCCTACAGACCTAAACAATACAGATACATCCCTCTAATCCTAATGTTGTCATCGGGTTGGATGAAGAAGAATCAAGGAAAAGGGTAGGTGACTCCTTATTTGGTTCCCTTCAGACCTAAAAACAATACAGATACATCCCTCCTATCCTAATGTTGTCTTTGGTATGGACGAAGAAGAACTTGGGAAAAGGGTAGGTAACTCCTTATTGATTGTCAGTTACTGCAGATACAAATATTTTTGTGGGTAGCAATTTTCATCGAGTCAGGAAATTGTTTTTTTCTTATACTTAGTTTTGTGGTTTTCAAAAATTCTGCCTACAATACCTATCATGCCTATAGGAAATTTGTATTTCTTTGAAAAAGAGAGGCTGAACATACGATAGGAATATTCAATCTCATAAGTGGAAGACAAACTGACAGCACCATGCCAAAAGACAGTCTACTTAACCCAATATAGAAAACTAAAGTTTTTAGCAACATTAACCCCACCAAAAACCTGATACGATTATTTATTCAAAAACTTAGTTAAATTAATAGGATTTGTGAGAAAGACCATTTAAAAAGTTTCAGAGATGATATGGACTCATCCGTCATTTGAACTAAGGGTTTCATGTTATATATTATTATGAGAATACTTTGAGTATATCAACAGACAGCAACCCAACAACAACACAAAATTCATCTAGAAGTAGATTATTGATAGGGAACAAACTAGAATTAATGCAATGTATTGGAATAGTTGTTAATGCTAGGAGTATATATAGGTTTTAACAATCAAACAAGAGTAAGTGCAATGTATTGGGTTAGCAAAAGTATATATGTATGTTTATTTTTTCTTTAAAGCCAGAAGAAGCACAGGCAACACTTAACCACTAATTGTAGTTCTGAAGATCACCACAGAAATCATCACAAGTGTCTGTCTCGATATTTTAAACAACTATTATTCTTATTTATGCATTTACAACTGAATTTGATAGCCAAGTATTTATATAAATAAGATGTGGTATGACTGCCAATGAGACAACTCTCCACCAGAGACCAAAATGACATATAAATTACAACTTTTAGCTAGTTTTTATGATTATCAATATTTTTCAGCTGTACGTGTCAACAGATTTTGGTTATAACTGGAGGATGATGCAGGAAGGAGTCAAGGCTTTCCATTGGTAATTTTCCCAAAATAATATGCTGCAAAGTTTTTGCCATCTAGTGTAAATTTCATACAAAAGACAATCTGCTTTAAAAAAAACGTGTGTTTTATCAACAATTGTTATTCTTCAAAAAACATATAATTATACATGTGTATTGAGCATGCCAAGACTAGGTTTTAAAACTTTGTTACATACCTGTCAACTGACCCATATCCTGCGGGTGTGACCTGAGATTTTCACAACTCTGAGGGGTCACCCAGGATACCCGCCGGGTCGTCAAATAATCCGGGATTTCCGAAAATGACTGCAATAGTGTGATTGGTCAGAGCTCAGACGTAAATAAGTCTAAATTTGCATGTTTCATGTGTTTTCTCCCTTTATTTAAACAATATAAGTCTCCAACAAGTCAATTAATGACCGTCAAATCGAAAAGTTACCAAAATTGGTTAACTTCAAGACCCATTAACAAATATAAAAATCTACATGAAATTGACACAACATTGTTAGGCAATGCTTTGTCTTCTGAAGAAAATTATGAGTTTGGTTATAAAAAAAAACGGATACGATGTACACTTTCTGATGCAACCATTTATAACCACTAAAACCGGAAAAAAAATTAGATGTAAAGAAAACTGTTCAATCAGATCATCACTTGTAGATAGCTCATGTCCTTGTAAATTCCCAGAAAAGATTTTATTCTCATAGGTGATGTACCATAAAGTCAAATAATGTGTTTTTGTACTGTTTTATGAAGCATAGATAGACTTTAACAAGTCTGTTGTTTTCTGACTTGGACAAGTCCAAAATTGTTAACACATTTTTATCAAAATACATGATTTGACTTCTATAAGTCAGAAACAAAAACAGACTTGTTTATGTCTTAGCTCTGATTGTGATTGTTTGATAATGTCCAAATACTCATATTTGTGTCAACATTGACTTTTGCCCTAACCTGACTTTATTGTGAAGCTATTACAATCCATTAAGGGCATCTGTACACAAAAGTAGGTCACAGAATTGAACATTGGATATGGATTAAAATGAGGCTGTGTTAAACCATTTAGATATGATATATCTGACATGTACTGTAAGACTGATCTCTTTGGTTATTGTTAAAAGTAGATTATTTGTATGGTAATATTATTATTTTTTTTTAATTAGATACATGACATTATCTATATTTTAGGGGTAATAAAGATTATGACAAATCAAATGATATCTTTGTTGAGAGAGTACAGATTGATGGAGGAAGCTCGATAGTCAAAAGTTCTGATTTCTTTGTCCGAGATGCTCAGCCTCTAATGATGGATGTTGAAGATTTCCAGATGATAGGACAGTACATGTTTGCTGTAAAGAAAGTTGTAAGTTTTAATAGTTGATGGCTTATTAGAACTTAATTTAATTGAATAAAAACTGCAATTATAAACATTGTCTGTTTTAAGCCATTATCAGTGTTAACATTGTCTGTTTTCAGCCATTATCAGTGTTAACATTGTCTGTTTTCAGCCATTATCAGTGTTAACATTGTCTGTTTTAAGCCATTATCAGTGTTAACATTGTGAGTTTTCAGTCATTATCAGTGTTAACATTGTCTGATTTCAGCCATTCAATGTAAACATTGCCAGTTTTTAGCCATTCAATGCTGACATTGTCAGTTTTTAACCATTCAGTGTTAACATTATCAGTTTTTTTGGAGCAGTCATTATTGTTAATCTTGCCTGTTTTTTAGTAGTTATCGTTATCAAAATTAATATTTTTTAGCAGTTATCGGTGTTAATTTTGTCTGTTTCTATTTTTCAGAGATTATTAGGAGGTACCGGTACTACCTTACAGTTGTGGGTATCCTACAAAAGAGGAAAATTTGTGAATGCACAGTTTGGAAACAGATATACAAGGCTGGTCAGTACATATTGTTGTTATTCTTAATGTCAGCTGTGCATTTTGTACTATTGTTTATTTTTTTAGATATAACCGTAATATTCTATTTCATAATTTTCTTTTTATCTGTAAAGCTTGAATTTATAAACTTATAAGCATGTTCCTCAATGAAATAAACTTCCACATGAACATTGAGAAGATATCAGAATAAATTTCTACATGAAAGTTTAGATGATATCAGAATAAATTTCTACATGAACATTTAGATGATATCAGAATAAATGCTTGCATGCAAGTTTGAAATAGTCTATATTGTCATTTAAAGAAGCCAATCATGATTAATTAAAAGCACAATTGAAACATAAATGTCAACCAGATTGAAAATATTTTTTATAATTGTAGATTAAATAAATGATAACTAAACATCAAGTGAATCAGTACCAGAAGAAAGATTGACGATATGTAACATGTCTTATATTTGTAGGATTATTTTGTTGCTGATGCCACTGAGGACCAAGTGTTTCTGTGTGTTCAACACAACAAGACCAGTACAAATCTGTATATCTCTGATGTTACAGGCTCTGAATATTCATTGTCTTTGGAAAATATCATTTACTATAACCCTAAAGGAGCAAACAAGGATTCTTGGCTCAGGTTTGTATGCCTAAAGGGGTTCAAAAATTGCAAAAATAAGAAACATCTTTTTGTGCAAAGGAAACTGGTATATTGGTATAATATGCTAGAACAAATTGGTTGATTTTTTTTATGAAAGTGGGGGATTGGGTGTGAAATTGCAGTAAATATTTACTTTTTATTAAAAAAACACCAATTTTGAGAAACAATTTCTATGCAAGGACTTCAACGAAATTTGAATTATAGGTTTAATACCTATTCCAATTTGATTCCTGTTAAAAAAAGATGTGTGAGAAATTGGTAAACGATATGTAATAAAAACCTAGTTTTTGTAAAATCAAATCACAAATTTTGAGCAACATCTTTCTTTGGTAGGACTGCAACCAAAATTGTAATATAGGTATAATATACTATTCCAAATTGATTTTTCCATTTGCCACAAGTATTAAAATTCAGGCAAAAATACATATAAAAATCATAGCGTTTATATTTTAAAGAAACTTGATATTCATGCAGATCCTATAATGATTTATTTTCTTGTGTCAATATTTCAAAATGTGCTAATTATATAAAAGGATACTTCCTGGCATGTTAGTTTTCTAGTTTCTATATGATTACAATGATTTAAATTGTAATTTATTTTCATACTACATATTAAAGGCCATTTTGACAACACTCTTGAACTTTATTTTGTAGATATTTTGCTAAAGACCCTTTTGTTGACTTGACTAAGATATCTGCCCTGAGAGGAGTTTACATTGCTAACATTCAGACAAATACCTCTGTTCTAACTATAGAGGGTCAAAAGTCATTGATTACCTTTGATAAAGGTGGAACTTGGGTACCTCTAACAGCACCATTAGTAGATGCTCAAGGTCATCCTACTAATTGTTCAAAGGTAAATATATATACAAGACATTATATTGATAACATACATAGAGGTCAGTCTTACAAAAAATATGCTTTCACTCAGTTGATTGAAATTTTATCCAAGTAAAAACCATTTCTCTTTTTTCTTTTCATTTCCTAAGAAGAAAAAGTTATTCTGACAATTTTTGTTTCGGTTTATAAAGAGATATAAGATGACATCAATATTTAGTAATTTTAGAAATTTAAGTAGATTTAAAATGAGAAAAAACATGTTTCATTCAAATACAATTTAGATATGTATGTTTTAGCATCATAAACATGATAAAAACAAAAAGATGTACAAGGTAATGATAGGCTGTCTTTACAATCAGCATTATTAGTTTGTCTTGTCTCTAGTGTGTCTGTCTGTCCATGCAGTTCTTTGTATGTGTTCATAATCCCATAGCATGTTTTATTAGATGATTATTGACATGTTAAGATCTACTGTAACAATATTATTTTAATGTATGAATGGACCTTGTACTAAATATACTAAACGCAAGGCATATATATTACTGTTTCAACTTTATATGTGAAATCTCATCATTTATAGTTCTGAATCATCATATAAAAACAAATCATTTCAATGTTAGACCCTAATACTGACTCATTAGTTCTGGTAATACTAGATATTTGATGAAATAGTGCAGAATTCAGATAAATAGCCCCTAATGCAACGTAAAATTGAAAAAAAACCAAAAAAGATGAAATATCAACATGAAATCAACAACATTTTAGTTATGTTTACTTTTTAATGTCTCAGAAACCAGAATTTTGAACCAAAAATTGTAAATCTCTATTCTTATAACTAACCAACCAGGAATCACGTTGTGTTGCAAACTCACATGAACCTGTAATCCATTTCAAGTAAAAATTTCAATATGAAAAGTTTCATGTTAATAAATTGCATAAGAATTTAAACACTTTGCTGTTTATGAATCAATTCAATTGAACAGCATTTGATTTTAAATTAGAAATTAGTCTTTCAATGAAATTATTTCATATATATAGTTTGTATGCCCTGTCTACAAAAGTAGGGGTGAAGTACTCTAACAATGTGTCTGTTTTTCAAATATTGTTATTTTTATAGAGTCTCACATTTGAACTGAAATTGAATTTACAAAAATTAGATTTAATAATTGTCCTTATGCAATAAATGTTACCATGGCTACAGTATGGTATAAATGTTGGTTGTGTTTAATAAGCATGATATTTAATATTTTGCCTTATTATTATGTGGTTAATAGTACAATCAGTGCATGTAGAAAATGCTGTTGCATGAGTATTATTATTGTAAAACTATTTGATTGTCAAAACAGCAAAAGTGACAATAGATAGGACTCAAGTTATACAATTCTGAGATTTGCATAAATTGTATAAAGGTTGATTTGAGTCTATAAACTATTGCCATGGAAAAACTTGAGCAACATCAAGACAATGAAATTTGTGTCTGTTTTTTTAAATTTTTCATTCAACATCATAAAGAAGCACAAAATTTCCTGCTAATTTGTATCTGATTACACCAAAATAGCCGAAAAGTATGATGACAAAAAACATGCAAAATTCACTTGGATAAAAACTTTAGGAGCTGATCAGTTAGCACCTGCCTCATATTATACTTAAGTGTTAATTCTTCAATAAGAAACCATCTTTACACGAGGAATTAGAAATGGAAAGGTAACACTGATAAGAAAATTATGTTTTTCAATGTAAAAAAAAATAGAATTTGAGTATTTCAACTAACTGTATATATGTCTCTGCTGTATTCAAGAGTTAACTGTATTGCATTTGAAGCTTTGCAGACGTCAATCGGCAGTTTTACTGTCGCAAATTGAGTTTACCTGGTGATGCGTAGCAGAGACAGGTAAACGAACATTTGCAACAGTAAAACTACCAATGGAAGTCTGCAAAGTTTCAAATACAATCTCTAATTGATGCTAAAAAGAAGATTTCAAGGTGCAAAATGTGAATTTGTTTGCTTATTATTGGAGAAATTACATGTCAATACATTCCAGAATTCAAAATGTCGGCTTCCCGTAGTTACAGACAGGTAGATAGAGAATTGTACGCTAATTGTCATCAAAACATAACCATTTATACAAAATGATTGCATTAGAATTCTTAGTAACATCTTGAGAATATTACAAATTTACTCTATATATATATACTCCGATCATATGTTTTCGTACGTCATATGAATTCTTACTATACATGCTTTTTCAATGGAAATTGTGACGTCACAATGCATTCTTAATAGCACGAAAACCCATACGACGAGGATATGTTTGTCTGGAAGTTTTTACTGTTGATCTAAAAATAAATTTGCTCCAAAAGTGTCTCAAATGAAAAAAAAAAAGACTACAAAAGTATAATTCTGTGTACTGTAAATTCCTTTATTTTCTTTGGTCCCAATTTTTCGTGTATTAAGGAAAAATATATTTTTCGTGGATATTTGATTTCATGATTTACAAAAGTCTGCATACAAGCCTATAGAGAATGTGTACTTCGTTCAACATTTAAATTCATGGTTTGTCTGTAACTACGAAATCCAAGAAAATTGGTATCCCATGAATAATAATCAATCCTCTGTAGCTATAATATTCTTAAAAAGAAGGAAATGCATTTACTGGTATGTTTTGGTTTAAAAAAGTAAAATATGTATTAAGCAACTTTAAATCCAGAGTTTCTTTGCCTGAATTATTGATTTTTTGCCTTTTAGTTTCAGAGCTGTTCACTCCACTTGACTCAAGAATTTAGTCGACTATACCCTGGAAGTCGTGCCTCAAACATCATGTCCAAGACATCTGCTCCAGGCCTTGTTGTTGGTATGGGGGTTACTGGAACTAACCTGAAACATGATCCTGATATGTTTTTATCTTCCAATGCTGGATACACTTGGCGACAGGTCAGTTTCACACTAGAGTTTTACCACCTATACAGTCAAACCTGCTACAAAGGTCACCTCTATTAAACACCACCTATACAGTCAAACCTGCTACAAAGGTCACTTCTATTAAACACCACCTATACAGTCAAACCTGCTACAAAGGCCACCTCTATTATACACCACCTATACAGTCAAACCTTTAAACACCACCTATACAGTCAAACCTGCTATAAAGGTCACCTCTATTAAACACCACCTATAGAGTCAAGCAGCTATAAAGGTCACCTCTATTAAACACCACCTATACAGTCAAACCTGCTACAAAGGTCACCTCTATTAAACACCACCTATACAGTCAAACCTGCTACAAAGGTCACTTCTATTAAACACCACCTATACAGTCAAACCTGCTACAAAGGCCACCTCTATTATACACCACCTATACAGTCAAACCTTTAAACACCACCTATACAGTCAAACCTGCTATAAAGGTCACCTCTATTAAACACCACCTATACAGTAACCTGCTACAAAGGTTGTCTCTATTAAACACCACCTATACAGTCAAACCTGCTATAATAGTCACTTCTATTAAACACCACCTATAAAGTCAAGCAGCTATAAAGGTCACCTCTATTAAACACCACCTATACAGTCAAACCTGCTACAAAGGTCACCTCTATTAAACACCACCTATACAGTCAAACCTGCTACAAAGGTCACCTCTATTAAACACCACCTATACAGTCAAACCTGCTACAAAAGTCACCTCTATTAAACACCACCTATACAGTCAAACCTGCTACAAAAGTCACCTCTATTAAACACCACCTATACAGTCAAACCTGCTACAAAGGTCACCTCTATTAAGCAAAAAACCTATCTAGTCAGGTCATTCTCTTCTTGTCACGCTGTAGTATAACCTACACATTTTGAATTTCAATTTTGAATGTCACATATGCAGGTTTGACTGTACTTGATCAATATGTAGTTCATATCATGCTATTCCAAAAGTTAAAAGTGAATGTCATCAGGCTTCAGCTTTATTGAAATAATAATCTTTTGTAGGATTAAATAGTGAAAATTCATAGATAAAGACAATTTTGTAATAGAAAAAGACAATTTTTGTAATAAAAAAAAAAAGATTTTGAGGAGATAACTTAAATGGAATAATGTTTAGGTAATAAAAAAATAGGGCTCAGTGCTTCTTTTTTCTTGCTAAAAAGAATACTTCCAAAGGACATAGTATTATAGATGTTTTCATACAAAAAAAAGTCCCATTTTTATGCTAAATTCTTGATTATTTCTGTAAAAATCTATACTATCAGGTTTGTTATCCAACATGTATGCCAAAATTTCACACCCTTTCCCCCTTCCTCAAGTAACACATTATGTTAATGTTTATATAATATTTCAGGTTTTAGAAGGTAACCAGTATTATGCTATGGGAGATCATGGTGGACTTATCATCTCGGTGCCACAGTTCAGAACCACAGACGAGTTGTTGTAAGTTTTACATAGCAGCAAGGCTAAAAGCATGTTACTACTCAATGGCAATATATATATAGTTTAAACATCTTTTTTTGTTACGGGGAATGTTTAGGTTTATGTTCATCACTGGATACACTGGTAAAATAATTTTATTTTGACCTTTTGTAAGGTCTATAATACAAAGTTTAACCAGGTTCAGATAGCACTTAAATCAAATATATTTGGTATTATAGATTACAAAATACATCCACATGAAACAAAACAATATTATGCTCCAGATAAATGTCAGTAAACATGCTACCTCTACAGTTAAGTATTTTCTGTATATTATTTGTTTTAAAATTAAAGTTACTCTTGGAATGAAGGAGAAACCTGGGTAACCTATAAGTTCCATGAAGAGAAGATTCGTGTATATGGTATCCTTACAGAACCTGGGGAGATGACATCTGTCTTTACATTGTTTGGTTCACATCTAGAGAGACATCGCTGGCTGATCATACAGATAGACTTACGTACAATATTCCGTATGTATGATTTCTTTTCTACCAAATATTCCTTCTTACTTCTGTAATTTATGATAAAAAGCAGTTCTCTTTCAGTTCCATAAAGTCTGATTAACATTTTTTTGTTAGAGAAATAAAATATTTTTAGACCTCAGTTGTCTTTTGGGGTTTAAGTGTCTTTGGGTTGCTGTCTCATGGATGTATACCCCTCATCTCCTTTAAATCACATTTGTAAAAGACTTTTTTTTTATAGAAAAGTGATTCCTGTCTAATGGAACTGTTACAGGCTTAAAATGTTTATTTAAGATTCACGCAAGTGTTTGGTTTGCACAGGTAAATTTGTTTTTATAAAAAGAGTTCATTGAAGACAGGTTTCCAGTTTACTACAGGTTTGATGTAGAAAGGTTTCCATTTCACACAGTTTTGATTTAGGACAGGTTTGATTTAGTACATGTTTTCATTTTAAACAGGATTGATGGAGACAGGTTTTCATTTTACACAAGTTTGATGTAGACAGGTTTCCATTATACACAATATCGATTTAGGACAGATTTCATTGTATAACATTGGTCATTAACAAAGCCTCGAGTAGATATATTCAACTTACTTTTAAAATAAAATTACCATGAACAAATATGTGAAGGTAGTTCAGAAGTCTTCATGGTTTAATTTGATTTTTATATGTATTTTTTTTTCTATTTTATTTTACATTGCAAAATGAATATGCCAAGAACCAGTTTTAAAATTTTGCAGCCTTTCAATGCAAGGAAGATGATTACAAGATGTGGTCTTTCCCCGATCAGAAGCCATATTTTGGTTGCATTCTGGGTAAAAAGACAGTTTATGAAAGACGTATTGCACATGCTGATTGTTATAATGGACGAGATTATGACAGAGAAGTCATAGAAAAGAATTGTTCTTGTTCTAGGGAAGATTATGAATGGTAAGATATTTTATTTCGCAAATACTTATAAATAGTTATTTTCTCTGATATATGCCGTTGGTTTTCTTTTCACATTTATATATAGATGTCGTCATATAAAAATCTAGTTTATTGTGTTATAAACAAATTTAGGATGAGAATAAATTAAATTGTAAATCAATTGACAGGTCCTGGAAAATAGACAGATGTATTGAACGGATGTGAATACTGTTGCTTAAAGTTTGAATGAAGTTTGGGAAAATAGGTTTTGCCTTAACACAGGAGATTTGTTGATATTGAGAACACAAATTATATTGAAGAATATGTACAAATTTTACACATGTATAAATTATGTTCCAGAACATGTGCACATTTACACATGTATTAATTATGTTGGAGAGCATGTACACAATTTACACATGTATAAATTATGATGGAGAACATGAACAAATTTTGCAATTACTTTGAAATTAGCTACCTAAAAATGACTGTAATAATATGTTTAAAAAATCATGATATATTTTAGTTTTGGTTCAAATTTTCTAAAAAAAAAAGACAATGCATTAGCTTTGATATTTTATTAATTTTCAGTGATGTTGGTTTTGCATTAACTGAAAGTTCCTGGGGTATAACTGAAACCTGTGAAGAAGATCGTAACAGTACTATAGATCTACACCATCCCCCTGTTCCCTGTCCAGAAGGCACATTTTATCCTTACAGTAGAGGGTATGTTTATAAATAGCAAAAGTAAATATCTATCAGTCTATGCAATTACATGTATTTATAAGTTATTCAAACACAAGAAATACTGACCTCTGAAGTTAAAAAAACTATCTTTGGGGGGAAATTTTAGTGGTCAGAAATTGCTTACTTAGCCTTTAATGAAAACTCTTGGTAAAAATACAGATAAACAAATTTATTTCATTGAAAACAGCACTGACAGTTTTTTTTATGACCTCACTTTTCACCAATTTGAAGGTTTCATGCCAAATATGTCATTTGTTTTAAATAAAAATATACCAGCTGCATCACACATTAAAGCTGCATCACACATTAAAGCAGCTGCATCACACATTAAAGCTGCATCACACATTAAAGCAGCTGCATCACACATTAAAGCTGCATCACACATTAAAGCTGCATCACACATTAAAGCTGCATCACACATTAAAGCTGCATCACACATTAAAGCTGCATCACACATTAAAGCAGATGTGTCAAATTAGCCTGCTTGGTTGTATGTTTTGTATGTTAATGTAAATGTGATGTTAAGTATCAACCTGAAAGGCCACTACAGCTTTCCGATCAATTATACCTCTTTGTCATCGTTTCTATGAAAACCTTTACTTACTTCAGATCAGATATTACCTGAATCCTTATATTAGCATTCTTTTTCAAGCCAAAATGTGTCGCTCCTGCTGAATATTGCAATATATACTACATGTATAATAAAAACAAAATGGTAAAATCAACAAAAGTTGTGATTGAATTTTGTGGAAATTTTCTGTTGAAGGCTAGTTCCTGCCAACATTTGGAAAAAATATGTCATTGTAGTCCCCGTTAAAAGTTATAGTTGCTGACTCAAACAACCACTGAGAAAAAATGCAACTAAAAAATCCATAGTTACTTAAAATGGAAGAGTTGAATAAGGTTATATGTAAAATTATCTGTAAAGTTCAAACTGCTTCCAAATTAAGAGAAATTATTCATTTATTTCTCAATTGGCAATTTATGGTTAACAACCTTTATACCTTCATACAAAGCTGCCACCAACAATTAAACTTTATAATATATAAATAAGAAGATGTGGTATGGTGGCCAATGAGAAAACTATCCACCAAAGTTGAAATAAAGTGGATGAATTAAATTATAGGCAACCGTACGGCCTTAAACATAGTGATCGATATAAGCATCAAAGAATGTAATTAAAACATTTCTTATAAGGATAGGCCAAATTGCAGGTCCAATACCTATAAAACAATTATTTTCCCATTCAAGAGGAGAGAACTCTGGAATTCAAAACAAAAAATTTGAAGAAGGAAATCAATAAAGTTTTAAAATAATTCTGAAATTACAGACTTTAGGGGAATAATGAAGTTGTGTAAATCTTCAACAACTCTTTATATTTTTGAAAATTTTTAGAAAAATACTGTAAAAAGAAATTTAAGTGTTTTAACTGTGTGAACTGCTATCTGATATAACCCCAATTGCTCATTTTGGAATTATATCATTCATTGAATCAATGCATGTGTAAATGTGGGAAGGGAAGCAATGCATGTATACACAATAAAATAACAGGCTTTCTTTAGAGACTACAGATATTGCCTCCAATACACATATACAATGTTTATCTTTCAATTTTTTTTTTCAATAATTATTGCTTTAGGCTTGTGTTTGAAATAAATTTTAAAGGTAAATTTTCTCTGATTTATAGTTCACTTCAACAAAGTTTATAGGGATTATTGGAGTACTTCTGTTGTCCAAGTCTGTGTTGGTGTACACATCTGTAAATTGTTTTCAGAAACGAATGAACATACAGTCATGAAATAATAATATGAACAACCATCTTTAAGAGAATTCGAATGACTATATAATATAAATAAAGTCACATTGCTCATATTTATTGCTTTATAATAGATTTATATAATATCTATATTTACAGATACCGTAAGATCTCTGGTGATACCTGTCATGGTGGACAAGAGTACAAATACTCCCCCTATATGCTGTCATGTCCTGTAGCAGGTAATTAACAAAGTCTCATTGTTTCTTACAAAAATTGTTGATAAATATTGAACAAAATCAAATGATGAGTTTTGATACAAAAATGAAAGTTGATTTCCATTTCAAAGTAATTTCTTATTCGTAGGTTTAGTTTGCAAGCATCAGTTTTAATCACTTATAATATTTCAGTGGCACCAGTGTCCAAATTTTATTCGATTAAGGTCATGAAGTTGTAATAATTTGTTAGTTTTAAGGGTTGAAAGTTCATATTTAATTTGAATATGAGAATTTCTATGTTCAACAGAATTTTAATCTACTACAAATCTACTCACAACAAAGACACAATTTATGAAAGGAGAAGGTATGATCAGGCCACTATTTTTGGCCCTTTGAATTAAAAATCAAAAAGTAACATAAATCTGCCAAATATCATTCTATGTTCATACGGTATTGAATGCAGATATTAATATTTATATTTTAGAATTTTGTCTTACTATTGCAGTAAAGCTTCAAACGGCTTGAAGTTCATGCAAAACAAAAAGACTTGCTTTGTGATTTTGTTATTAGTTTTAAGATATGAGCAAATGCTTTACCCAAAAAGAAGATGTATTTTATAAATATGTTAATATGTGAAAAATATCTTTTTGAGTAATGCCTCGACTTGTTTCTATTTTTTTTTCAAAAACTAAGTGTAAAATGGCCATTTGAGATCAAATGTGTAAATTTTGATATGTTTATGACATCATAGTGATATCACAAGTGACCTTTCTGTATCAAATGGTCCAATTTATAAAGCCCTATTTATTTATTTATACAACTGACACTTTTAATGTAGAATCACCTATTTAGGATTGTAAAAGTTTAGAATTACTTTTTTATTTAAAGAATTTAAATTGTATTTCAACATTATTTCTTTTTTCAGTATTGTAAATTTTAAATAAAAAAATTATATATGTAACTTCAGAATCAAAAGAATTCCTGTTGTATTCATCTAGACACTTTATAAGGAGGTACATTTTTGGACAAGAACGAGATGAGAATATTATGGATGTAAACAGGATTGGTTTAAGAGGAAGCATCTATGCTATAGCCTTTAATTATAGAGAAAATATTGTTTACTGGTCAGAGGGACAACCTAATAAAATAATGGTATGTTTAGTGTTATTAACTGGTCAGAGGGACGACCTAATAATATAATTGTAGATAGACAGAGTTTAGGTCAATGCTTTCTTTATGATGACTATAGATACTGTAACTGTAACGATATTGATTCTATATAGATTCCATATTGAAATTAAAAAGAATCTTCATGACGTTTACTATTCATATAGGTTAGTTTATGTTCCGTATTAAATTTGGCAATTCAGCCATGTAAAAAAAATGATATGCTGTACAATTTCCAATGAGACTTTCAAAAATGTCCTCAAATGATTTGTTCTTTTAATGAGTTAACACTATATTCATCTGATACATGTCTATATCATCTATGTCGTGACGACATCAAGTTGATATTGACTAACTATGTTCCAAATGTCTATCTGCTACAGTAATCTTTAAAGTTGACGATATCTACATCAGGTTTAGTCATTTGTATCATCATTGTAATCGACATCTGGTTATGTATTGAGTATATTAGTTCATCGATATTGATCTGATATCAATGATATCAACATCTGGATTTGTCTTGGACATGTATGTACTTTAGCTGTATATTATATCTATTGGTCCTTCCAGTCCAGGCTTGCATTGTCAAATATCTAAATATGTTAAAGACATAAAGGTAAAATCATACTCAAAATTAGTTTTCTTTATCAAGAAGATAGAATTGGGCTGGATATGAGGTTGTGCAGTACAGGGAAAGTAGTAACAGAGATCTTTCTGCAAGAAGGAATGTTCAAATTTAAAAAAGGGAGAATCTTATAGGATAGAAAGGGTGAGAAGTGGATGGCAGGGAATTTGGAAAGAGTGTATCTTTGGCTATCCCTTCTGAAAAAGCAAATTGATACTATAAAACCAGGTTTAATCCACCATTTTCTACATAAGAAAATGCCTGTACCAAGTCAGGAATATGACAGTTGTTATCCATTCATTTGATGTGTTTGAGCTTTTAATTTGCCATTTACTTAGGGACTTTCCGTTTAGAATTTTCCTCGGAGTTCGGTATTTTTGTAATTTTACTTGATAATATGTTTTTCTGTACATCTTTTCAGCAAATGAACTTAAATGGTACTGGTAATATGTCTGTAGTTGCTATGGGGCGTGGCATGTCAACAGTAGAGTCCTTGGTATTTGATTGGACTGGTGGCAATCTGTACTGGATTGATTCAGTAAATAAATCTATTGAAGTAGCCAGGAAGAATGGACAGTTTAGGAGAAAACTTGTAAATCATACACATCTCGATAGACCAAGAGGTCTAGTACTTGACCCACATTTTGGGTATGTTGTTTTTAAACACATTTAAATCTTATGGGTTCTCACACAAGTCCACAAATTAATCCAGAGAAGTTGTGTGTACAGGAACAAAGCAGAAAAAGACAATTTTTACACTTATATAAATTAATCCTAGGCTATACTAAAAATTTTATGACATACATGTATTTTTTCTTGTAAGAGTTTTGTGAAATGAGTTGCTGTACTTAAACTCTGACATTTGTTATACAAAGAGATGTGGTATGATTGCCAATGAGACAATCTGACATTTGTTATACAAAGAACTAGGATGTTAACAAATTTAGGTTACTGTACAGCCTTCAACAATGAGCAAAGCAAAATCTATAAAGTGGAGTGAGCTATATGGCCACAAAATAACACATTGTGAAACAATACAAGAGAGAATATTTAGAATTCATACAGTTCAATACATATAAATGGACATTCTGCATGAACTTGAACCAAAGGAAGCAGTTTTCAGTATGTAGAATATTCTCTTAAAACCTTCATCATGTATGCTGAAGACAAAAAGTTTGTGAAGCAAAGTAAGTTAAATTTATTTTAAAGAACATGAAAAGGGTCTAAAAAGAATAGCCAAAACCTATTAAGATCATCATTGGTGCTGTCAGATTCAACCTTGTTGTTTGAGCCTTTACAGAATATAGTGATAGAAAATTGGCAGTCAAAAATTAGTATCCGAAGAACTGTATAAACAGAAAAAAGAAATTTCCAGAGAGAACCATTTACAGTGATATTTATAGGGGTACAACTATAGATAACATTGATTATTAAACGTTTATATTACAGCTGGATGTATTGGACAGACTGGTCTCGAGAAAATCCAAGGATCATGAAGGCATCCATGGATGGAAACATAACCACAATAAAGGCCATTGTTACAGGCACCTCAAATGTTTATTGGCCCAATGGTATTACTATAGATCATAGAGAGATGAAGATTTACTGGACTGATGCTCATTTGGACAGAATTTCATCTGCTAATTTGGATGGCAGTGAAATAAAATGGTTGATTCATGGGACTTCCTTAACCCCACATCCATATGCCATTGCTATTTATAAAGTAAGTTTAATGTTAAATTGCTCTTTCATTTTATACTTGAAAGAAATATGATTTATTGCCTGTGTAGATAGTTTTGGAAGGTTAAATATTGATGTTGATTTCAGATAAAGGTGGCTTCATTTTTTGTAAAATTAGATTAAATACAAAAACTTGTTAAATTTCTGTTATAGAAACAGGCATATTTTCATTATTATTATTTGTTACATAGATGTAATAAGTTTTAAAACAGACGATTGAAACTCATTAGAGTATTGTTATTTTGACTGCAGACAACTGAGTATAAAAATAAAAAAGATGTGGTATGATTGCCAATGAGACAACTCTCCACAAGAGACCAAATGACACAGAAATTAACAACTGTAGATCACTGTATGGCCTTCAACAATGAGCAAAACTCTACTGTATATAGATATAGGAAGATGTGGTATGAGTGCCAATGAGACAACTCTCCATCCAAGTTACAATTTATAAAAGTAAACCATTATAGGTCAAGGTATGGCCTTCAACACGGAGCCTTGGCTCACACCGAACAGCAAGCTATAAAGGGCCCCAAAAAATTACTAGTGTAAAACCATTCAAACGGAAAAAACCAACGGTCTAATCTATATAAAAACGATAAACTAGAAACACGTATGAACTACATAAACAGACGACAACTACTGTAATCAGATTCCTGACTTAGGACAGGTGCAAACATTTGCAGCGGGATTAAACATTTTAATGGTACCAAACCTTCTCCCTTTTCTGAAACAATAGTATAACATCACAACACAGAAAAACACACTATAAAATATCAATTGGAAGGCTAAACTCAATCAAAAAAACGTAAATTAACACACAATGAACGAATAGATTTGACCTGTGACACCTGAATGTCAGCTATAAAAGGCCCGAAATGACAAATGTAAAACAATTCAAACGAGAAAACTGACGGCCTAATTTATGTACAAAATAATGAATGCAAAACAAATATGAAAAACAGAAACAAAAGACAACCACTGAATTACAGGCTCCTGACTTAGGACAGGCACATACAGAATGTGGCAGGGTTAAACATGTTAGCAGGCGCCCAACCCTCCCCTAACCTGGGACAGTGGTGTAACAATACAACATATAAGAACAAACAATAAAAATCAGTTGAAAAAGGCTTAACTCATCAGATGGATACAAATAGAAATACATGAGGGCTACTCATGGAAGAAGGATGGGAATGATGGGTAGTCCTCAAAGAGACAGTAACCTAACAACCCAAAATACCAAATGACATCTAGAGGTCAGCACATGGTTTTACACAAAAGACAACTTTCTATACTATATGTCAAACTCTAAATGTCAGAATGCATTAAAATATAGCTAAAGACAAACGCAGGAATGGGATTGGAACATGAACATGTGGCTGGTTAAACTAGTTTTTTGAAACATCAACTGCATCCCTTTTGATTGGTTGAATATCAAAGGATACATAAAAGAATGTACAATAAAAAAGGAAGAAAAAGCTATAGCATTAAAGCTTAACATGCTTAATATAGACAAAACATGTATCATTTTCAGAAATCTAGTTAAGATTTTATTATTTTTGATTTGATTAGTAGTTATTTAGACTTTAGTGCAGGCCTTTGGTCAGTTTTCTTTCACCTGCTGAATATTATAGTCCTGTTTGTTTATGTCATCAGAGCAGTTTCAATATTATTTAATTATAATAAATATGAATGTATTTGATGTTTTGTCCAGATGTTACTTGCATGTAAATATAATGTAAACAAACTTGTATTTTCAGGACAAGATATACTGGAGTGATTGGTTAAAACAAGCCATATATTCTGCTAACAAACTCACTGGACGTGGTATTATGGCAGTCAAGACCAATATAACAGATGTCATGGATCTGAAAATATTAGACTATTTATCACAGCATGGTTAGTATACTAAAGAAATTGCTTCTTAAAATAGAATAGTATTCTGCAATTATACTGAAGAGATGAGTAGATTATCATTCCTGTACACTTAAAAATACTTTGTGTATTGGGATTAGTCGTCCTTGTTAAAAACCTCCCAAAACAAAAGCTGATTTTTATCAGCTATAGTTAGAGGAGGGGATAAGGCGTTTGGGTAATGCTAGCTGTTATTGCCGTAGAAGTGAGAAGTAAAAAGTACAGGTTCCAGCCCTGGTTTGGTAGAAAGTAAAGAATCAGATCGACTCTAGCATTGTTAGGTTGATTTTATTCCTATCACAAACAAAATTTGGCAAAATAAAGTTATTTCTTTTGTTACATACATTTAGTTGTTCTGTGAAAAATCACCTATTAGAAGATCATGTATTATATGTTTTAGATTCAACAGCTTGCAGCAAATCAAATGGTGGATGTTCACAGTTGTGTCTGCCAAAACCTGGACTGAAAAATCCTAATTCTAATAATAGGACATGTAAATGTGATGAACTGATGCCAAAACTTATTATCTCTGACGGTGGCATGGACGAGAAATGTTCCTGTCCCCCAGGTGAACTCCTGGAGAATAATACCTGTGTACACTGTAAGTTAATTAAATAACTTGTTATCTCTAACGGCAGCATCGACGAGAAATGTACCTGTTCCCCAGGTGAACTCCTGGAGAATAATACCTGTGTACACTGTAAGTTAATTAAGTAACTTGTTATCTCTGACTGCAGCATTGATAGAAAATGTACCTGTCCCCAGGTGAACTGCTGGAGAATAATACCTGTGTACACTGTAAGTTAATTAAGTAACTTGTTATCTCTAACGGCAGCATTGACGAAAAATGTACCTGTTCCCCAGGTGAACTCCTAGAGAATAATACCTGTGTACACTGTAAGTTAATTAAGTAACTTGTTATATCTGACGGCCGCATGGACGAGAAATGTACCTGTCCCCGAGGCGAACTCCTGGAGAATAATACCTGTGTACACTGTAAGTTAATTTAGTATCTTGTTATATCTGACGGCAGCATTGACGAGAAATGTACCTGTCCCCCAGGGGAACTTCTGGAGAATAATACCTGTGTACACTGTAAGTTAATTTAGTATCTTGTTATATCTGACGGTAGTATTGAAGAGAAATGTACCTGTCCCCCAGGTGAACTCCTGGAGAATAATACCTGTGTACACTGTAAGTTAATTTAGTATCTTGTTATATCTGACGGTAGTATTGAAGAGAAATGTACCTGTCCCCCAGGTGAACTCCTGGAGAATAATACCTGTATACACTTTTAGTTTATGACTTATATGTTTATTGGTATTTAGATACTGTGGATTCATTTTTTTCATGTTCATGAAAATTTGATACTCCATGAATAATAATTAAACCATGTTAGGTAACATGAATTTAATTTTTAACTAGTAGATTGAAAAGGTTACATTTGTCTGTATCCTTGAAAAATTCAGGCGGAGCTCTCAATTCTTTCCTACGCAACCCCAAAAATTGAGATGCATAATGCCCTAGATTCACGATAAAAAAAAAAAAAAAAAATCAAATATCTATTTTAATAACATATTTTGACCCATAAAAGGCAACAAAATCTATACAATTATTCATAGAGAAGGATAGATCTGCTAGAGAATATATCTTTGAAAATCCTCTTGGTCACAGGCACCTGCACAGATGATGCTTCATTATCAAGATAGGCATCACCATCTTTCTCAAAAGAACTATATTGAGGCCTATTATTCGCATTGTCAGAATTATTCAGTTTTATTATGCCCATTAAGCATTAAGTTTTACCCTTGTCCGTCTGTACGTCCATTCGTACGTCCATCCGTCCGTACGTCCCAAAGTTGGTTTCCTTTTCTAACTTTAGATTGCCTAAACCAAATGCTATGAAACTTATACACAATGCTTATAACCACAAAATACAGATCAAGTTTGAATTTTGGTGATGTCACTTTAACCGATCTAGAGTTATGCCCCTTTACAAATGGAAAAATTGCTGAATTTTTTGTTTCCGTTCTCTAACTTAAGTTAGCCTCAACCAAATGTTATAAAACTTATACACAATGCTTATTACCACAAAATACAGATCAAGTTTAAATTTTGGGGATGTCACTTTTATTGTTCTAGAGTTATGCCCCTTTACAAATGGAAAAATTGCTGAATTTTTCGCTTCCGTTCTCTAACATAAGTTTGCCTCAACCAAATGTTATGAAACTTATACACTATTGTTATAACCACAAAACTCAGATCATATACAAATTTGGGTGGCGTCACTATTACCGTTTTTCAGTTATGTTCCTTTATAACTTTATATGATAGCCAAGCAGGGACATCATCTGTGTCCCATGGACACATTCCCCATTTATTTCCGTTTATAGTTATTATAAAAATAAGAAGATGTGGTATGATTGCCAATGAGACAACTCTCCACCAGAGACCAAATGACATAGAAGAACTTTAACAACTATGGGTCACCGTACGGCCTTCAACAATGTGCAAAACCCATACCGCATAGTCGGCTATAAAAGGCCCTTAAATGACAAATGTAAAACAATTCAAACGTGAAAACTTAACGGCCTGATTTATGTACAAAACAATGAACGAAAAACAAATATGACATACAGCAATAAATGTTTATATTTCAGACTGTTTCAGTAAACAACTTGTAGCTTTGTGTTGATGCACTGTCTATAAACTGATCTCATAGTTCTTTAATTAAGTCTCCCAAAAGTAGTTTGGGAAGACTTATTGGTTTTGCTCAGTTCTTATTATTATTATTCTTCTTCTTCTTCTTCTTCTTCTTCTGCCGCTTTTAAATATGAACTTGTCCGCACCCGTTCTCCAAAACCGCTTGTCAGATTAACTTAGGGTTTCACAATATGTTAGACTAACATGTCTAGTGGTGCAATCAGGGTTTTGTTTGTGCAATGGGGTTTATAAAGGGGTACTTTGAGGGGCAAAAAGAAAGGAGGGTTTTACTATAGAACCCTATGGGATTTTATTTTTTTAAATTTTCAAATTATTATAAATTGAAAACTGTTTGTGATAGACACAATCTTTTTAATTGAAAATGTTCTAAATGATAAAGCACATTCAATGAAATACAGGGTTAGTCCCCAGGGGTCACCCCCAACCCCTGCCATTTAAGAAAGTTCTAATATCTTGTAAATGGTCGAGATCCCCACCCCTAAACCATATATATTCTAGTTTGTCATGCTAAGATGGTTTGAATGATATACAGGGTTAGTCCCCAGGGGTTATCCCGACCCCCTGCCATTTGAGAAAGTTCTAATATCTTGTAAATGGTCAAGATCCCCACCCCTAAACCATATATATTCTGGTTTGTCATGATAAAGCACATCAAATGAAATACAGGGTTAGTCCCCAGGGGTCACCCCCACCCCCTGCCATTTAAGAAAGTTATATCTTGTAAGTGGTCAAGATCCCCACCCCTAAACCATATATATTCTGGTTTGTCATGCTATGATGGTTTGAATGATATTCAGGGTTAGTCCCCAGGGGTCATCCAGACCCCCTGCCATTTGAAAAAGTTCTAATATCTTGTAAATGGTCCAGATCCCTACCCCTAAACCATATATATTCTGGTTTGTCATGATAAAGCACATCAAATGAAATACAGGGTTAGTCCCCAGGGGTCACCCCCACCCCCTGCCATTTAAGAAAGTTCTAATATCTTGTAAGTGGTCAAGATCCCCACCCCTAAACCATATATATTCTGGTTTGTCATGCTATGATGGTTTGAATGATATTCAGGGTTAGTCCCCAGGGGTCATCCCGACCCCCTGCCATTTGAGAAAGTTCTAATATCTTGTAAGTGGTCAAGATCCCCACCCCTAAATCATATATATTCTGGTTTGTCATGATTAAGCACATCAAATGAAATACAGGGTTAGTCCCCAGGGGTCACCCCCATCCCCTGCCATTTAAGAAAGTTCTAATATCTTGTAAGTGGTCAAGATCCCCACCCCTAAATCATATATATTCTGGTTTGTCATGATTAAGCACATCAAATGAAAAACAGGGTTAGTCCCCAGGGGTCACCACCCACCCCCTGCCATTTAAGAAAGTTCTAATATCTTGTAAGTGGTCAAGATCCCCGCCCCTAAATCATATATATATTCTGGTTTGTCATACCAAGATAGTTTGAATGATATACAGGGTTAGTCCCCAGGGGTCATCCCGACCCCCTGCCATTTGAGAAAGTTCTAATATCTTGTAAATGGTCGAGATCCCCACCCCTAAACCATATATATTCCTGTTCATCATGTCTCGAACATTTGAATGACATATACGGTCAGTCCCCAGGGGTTCCCCCCCACCCCCAATGTTCTAATATCTTGTAAATGGTCTAGATCCCCACCCCTAAACTATATATATTCCTGTTCGTCGTGTCTCGAACATTTGAATGATGTATACGGTCAGTCCCCAGGGGTTTCCCCCACCCCCAATGTTCTAGTATCTTGTAAATGGTCTAGATCTCCACCCCTAAACCATATATATTCTGGTTTGTCATGCTATGATGGTAAATGGTCATCCCGACCCCCTGCCATTTGAGAAAGTTCTAATATCTTGTAAATGGTCGAGATCCCCACCCCTAAACCATATATATTCCTGTTCATCATATATATTCTGGTTTGTCATGCTATGATGGTAAATGGTCATCCCGACCCCCTGCCATTTGAGAAAGTTCTAATATCTTGTAAATGGTCGAGATCCCCACCCCTAAACCATATATATTCCTGTTCATCATGTCTCGAACATTTGAAAGACATATTCGGTCAGTCCCCAGGGGTTCCCCCCCCCCCACCCCCAATGTTCTAATATCTTGTAAATGGTCTAGATCCCCACGCCTAAACTATAAATATTCCTGTTCGTCGTGTCTCGAACATTTGAATGATGTATACGGTCAGTCCCCAGGGGTTTCCCCCACCCCCAATGTTGTAGTATCTTGTAAATGGTCGAGATCCCCACCCCTAAACCATATATATTCTGGTTTGTCATGCCAAGATGATTTGAATGATATACAGGGTTAGTCCCCAGGCATCACTAATGCATATAACTTTACTGGACCAAACCAATTTTCACTGGACTTTGTCCAATGTCAGGCAACACTGGGAATTACTAATTATGGGAGCTTCGTTTGGGAGACTTCGTAACAGCATCCTGTTACAATCATTTCTTGTTAATAAACTGTCTTAACATTTTTATGCCCCCACCACTAGGTTGAAAGGGGCATAAGTGTTATCCTTTTCTGTCTGTACGTCTGTACGTCCCAAAATTGGTTTCCAATTTCTAACTTTAGTTTGCCTCAAATGTTATGAAACTTATACATCATGCTTATTAATATCATAAAACACAGATCAAGTTCGAATTTGGGTGGCTTCACTTTTACAGTTCTCTAGTTATGTCCCTTTATAATGTTTTATGCAAGCAGGGTCATCATCTGTGTCCCATGGACACATTCTCTATTTATTTTTGAGAAATCAATATGTTAAAGTTTTTCACTTTAAGTGAGTTATTAGTATGCTACATGTAGCTAAGTTCAAATTTTTTGTCTTTTTATCCAATCTTCTATTAAATACACTTCTTCTACCCATAAAAGAGTAATACTTATAATGTTATTGTAATTTGTGAGGCGTTCACATTCAGTCTTTACAATTAAAGAATTATGATTATATCTTACAGCCGATAAAGCTAATTGTACAGCGGGAAGGTTCCAGTGCAAAAATGGAGACTGTATCCCCTCAACCTGGTTCTGTGACCGTGACAATGACTGTTCTGATGGCAGTGATGAAATGGACTGTCGTAAGTATTGGTACTTCAGTTGCAGATTCCATAAATAATGAGTACTATAAGTTTTGGAGATTTTTTAAGGTAAAAATTGCATGAAAGGTAATCACAACTCTTATGTCATTGGCTTCATGGCTATATTTTCCTGTCTTCATCTCTACTTTTGAGAGCACAAACAACATAGTTCAGCAAGGTGAACATTCTTAAGTTCATACCCATGTCAATGTCACACAATTTATTAATGATATATACTCTGATATTCTAGTTACAAATGATGTGCATGTGTATAACCATACTTGTCAAGAAAACTATTTTATTAATTTACATAAGTAGTGCTTGGTGTATGAATCTATCTGTTCTAAAACAGAAATAGAAAGCAACATTTATAATTGGAGTTCTCTCACTTTGTCCGTAATCGTAATAAGACAATTTCAATTCTAGATATTGCTTAATACAATGCAATGTTCAATTTTAAGTTCACATTGCAAAATGAAAGCAACTTTACTCTCCAGTGCTAACAGGAAGGAGAGACAAAACAGCTATGAAAGTAACCTATATATACATGACATTTAAGGAATGACAGTTCTGTAAGAGTTACCTCCATTAGTTGGGGATTTGACAGTCACAAATCCAGTTTTACTAGCGTTGGTGACAACTAAATACAGTACTGTTATTCCTATTGTAATGCAATACTCTTACAATGCAAAAAAATTATCATTTCAAATTTTCTTGAAACTTGATTGTGATTGCACAATATTGTTGCCAATGAATCTAGTCATCAACTGTGAAATTGAAAGCAGACGTCATCCATCAAATTGATGTTACATGACCTATTGGACCAAAAGAAATTTTGAATGCATGCTAGTAACCTTTATATGTACATGATTGTTTTGATTATATTTATACACGTACCATTTTATTTTTATTTTCAGCATATGCCAGTTGTACCTCTGGGAACTTTCAGTGTAGCACTGGCCACTGTATACCATTAAGGTGGCATTGTGATTTTGATAATGATTGCGGTGACTTGTCTGATGAAGATGGCTGTGGTATGTAAACTTCGTCTCCCTCCTGAGATAAAAAAAAGTTGTGCTCACAGTTACTTATCTCTTTAACTAATTAAATAATTGAAAATTATTTATAGATTTGTTTGAGATGTATTGAGTTTTATAAAGCTCTATAACATGATTAATAGAAAATACAGCACTTTGAACTAATGAAATATGATAATTTTTATTGTAGTTTACAGAAATTGTACACCAGATGAATTTCATTGTGATAATGGGAGATGTATTAACAGGAACTGGACATGTGACTTTGACGATGACTGTCGTGATGGTTCAGATGAAAAGAACTGTAAAATTACTGGTGAGTTAAATATGATGTCATCTGTGATTAACAGGCATGGATCCAGTCATTTTGAAAAGGGGGGTTCTAACCCCCGGAACACCATGAAACATTCTCATAATTAAAAAAAAAAAAAAATCGAGGTTCTAACCCCTGGGACCCCCCGGATCTGCCAGTGAAGAAGAAAAGTCTTACCATTCGTTGCTGCATTGAATAGGGCAAAGGTCACTGGATGTATATATCAGATCATACTGTATCATATAGGTCAAACATTACTGGAGCGTAGATATCAAATCATGCTGTATCAAATAAGCCAAATGTTACTGGACGTATGTCTCAGATCAGTGATTTACAATGAAAGATGCCGAGTGGACAGCAATACTCCAAATGCATCCTAACTACTTTATTGTTTTCTTTTAGAATAATTTTGTATCAGATGTTTGGAACAAAACAAAGATTTATAACTTTATACAGGTTTTGTTTCTCATAATCTACCTTGGATCACTCCAAATTTTATTGAGGTTAATGTTTCAGTGAAGTGTTTTGTAGACTTGTATTTTATCTTCTTGTTTTATGCCCCTGCGGCATTAAGTGTTACACTTGTCCGTCCTTCCGTATGTATGTCCATACGTCCCAAAATTGATTTCCATTCTATAACTTTAGTTTGCCTCCACCAAGTGTTATGAAACTTATACACAATGCTTATTACCACAAAACACAGATCAAGTTTGAATTTGGGTTGCGTCACTTTTACCCCTCTTGAGTTATGATGTCCCTTTATAAAGTTATATGCGAGCGTGGGGGCATCGTCTGTCCCATGGACACATTTTCCATTTATTAGCTGCTTTTTTTCAGCATACTATAAATTTAGAAATAATTGTGTGCATTTATTATTGCGATTTTTGAAGAATGGACAAAAATGCAAGATTATTTATAGGGATTTCAAGAAAAGCTGCATCCAGATATATTCATCATATACTGTGGATTCATTTATTTTCGTGGGTATCAATTTTCGTGGATAGAGAAAAAAAGACGGTTCGTGGTATACGTAAATTCGTGGATTGCTGATTTAAAAAAAAAAATAAAAAAATTCAGATACGTAATTCGTTGATTTAGGACATCATTTAACCTCCTTGGTTTGATCAATAATAAAACAAACAAAAAAGAAGGAGTTTGAATTGTCAAAATCCTCGCTTGGTCATTCTAGGTTAAAGTGTTCATTGAAAACTTCTATCACAATAATGGACAGAGACAACTAGTTATTTGTTTGTTTTACAATTTATAAATTCTTGTCGACATTTTATAAGGCATTTAAAACTCTATGATTGAAAGCTCATTTCCCTTATCACGATATGATAAACAGTCATATAAGTAAAAAGTCTGAAAACAAATGTTTCTGTCATAAACAATATCCCTGTACTTAATCCTATTGATATTTAATCACCAGTAAACCAAACTATGACACGGTAATTATCAACTTGCAGGTATTTTCCATGAACAGTTTTAATCAATTTTAAAAAGTAAATTATTACCGATAATCGATATATTTATTATTGATTTAATCAAAATACTTGTATCTTCTTTCAATAAAAACACGTGTTACGTTACAATGTTTATCGCTAGTCAACACTATACTAGAACTGCATAACATAACCGGAAATAAACATCCGACTCCATATACATTTCTCGGGATTATTCCTCGTTGAATTCTTAAATTCGTGGTTCGCTGTGACCCACAAAACCCACGAAAATTGGTATACCACGAATAAAAATGAATCCACAGTATCTGAATGTGAGTTCATATTATTGCGATATTCACAGCCTCGTATTATTTGCAATGATAAAAACCTCGCAATAATTGGTGAATTTACAGTATCATTTTTGATTGTCCCCTTCTGCATCTTTTTTACAGTGGTTTAAGTTCAAAAGCATGTAGAAGGAAAACAAATTAGAGCTCTGTATAACTGGATTTTTTTTTATTGTGTCATCAGAAAACTTTAAATTTGTATTTTACATCAATAGCAGTCAAAAGTATGCTGTTAATGTTATATTTGATATGATGAAATGTTTGAGATAATAGGTTATTCTTTAATCATGATTTTCCAGCATTCAATCTATTATTTACAGCTTTGTTGTATATTTTAGATCCTTGTACTGATGATGAATTTCATTGTTCTGCACACCAGCCTAAGTGTATCCCATGGGCCCAGAGATGTGATGGACACAACGATTGTACAGACAGGTCTGATGAAACCAATTGTACGACTACTACCTGTACACCGTACCAGTTCAGATGTAATGATGGGCAGTGTATATATTCAACATGGCAATGTGATGGTGGTAGGGATTGCCATGATGGTGAAGATGAAGTCAACTGTAATGCAACTACAGGTAAGGATGGTGGATAGACAAAATGGTTGTAACTTGGTGGACAAACTGAAATAAAAATAATGATTATGTAGAGATTGTCTAGCACCAAAAAACTTTTTATGCCCCACCTACAGCTCTTTTGTCTTAAGTTCAAATAAAGTGACAATAATTGCATGTAGAAGCAACGCTTTGTTTTATATTGAAAAAATCAACATACCTTTAATTGCATGTAAGATAGAACTGGTTCCAAAACTTCGGATGTACCAAAACAGGTACTTCAGATCTGACAAACAGGCAATATGTACTCTCCTTTTAAGATTTCATGCAATTTTTTTATTATTCAAAATTAGGGTCAAAAAGTGTTCTACAGTGATCACCAGTCATTCAGCTTTCATTTGATACCAAAATTCACAAAATATTCTACATATTTTGAAAGAACTTACACCCATGCATAGGAACTATTTTGTGTTAAATATGTACTACTTTCTGGTATGTGCTTTCTGGCCAGGCACAAATTCGTAGTGTTGCACCTTATGCCCTACCAATAAAGATAGGGGGACATTATGTTTTCTAGTCTGTGAGTCTGTCCATTGGTTTCCTCTCATCAATTAAAAGTTTTGGTTTTAGGTAGTGTACAATGCAGCTGTGGTCATATCAACTTGAAACTTAGTACACATGTTCATTATGACGTGAACTTTTAAATAAACCCATGGCTACCAAGAAATGGGGGAAGAGGGATTTTGACCTGTTCATCATTTAGTAGATCTGTCAGCAATTTTGGTTTCCAGCTGCATTAATCAAATACTTTATATTGAGTTGTAACCTTACTTGGATATATCATAAAATATAATCAGAGGAAGATCCCTTTTAATTTTGAAATCAGAAGGCCTAAGGTTAAGGTCTTAGTTACTAAAGATAGATTTTTGTTAGACAACAGAGAAGAATCACACCTAAGAGTAAACAGGAAACTATAAGTTCTTCCCTTTATATGAAAGATGATGGGTATATGAGCTTGCTCACTAAACATTCTTTAGTGATTAAAAAAATACAAAATTAGGGTTTTGACCCAGATTTATGATATGTGTGAGTGGGGAGTGGTGTAGTATTGACACACATTCTTACTTTATTAAATTGTGACTTTGATATAAGAATATTCAAATAGTTGACATTTAAACTATATGAGTACATTGTTTTTATAGAAAATAGATATTGAAAAGAATAATTAATTGAAGTTATCCTTTATTCATGATGATTGTATTTTACCTTGTAGTTCCACCTACAACATCAACAACAACACGACGTCCAGGTTCTCGGTGTCATTTCTGGCAGTTTGAATGTAACAACCTTAATTGTGTCTGGTGGTCCAATAGGTGTGATCATGTCAATGACTGTGGTGATCATAGTGATGAACTTAACTGTGGATTCAGTAAGTATTAGTGGGGGAAGTGTAGTGAGATAGGTCATGTGATCATGTCAATGACTGTGGTGATCATAGTGATGAAATTAACTGTGGATTCAGTAAGTATTAATGGGGGGAGTGTAGTGAGACAGGTCATGTGATCATGTCAATGACTGTAGTGATCATATTGATGAAATTAACTGTGGATTCAGTAAGTATTAGTGGGGGAGTGTAGTGAGATAGGTCACGTGATCATGTCAATGACTGTGGTGATCATAGTAATGAAATTAACTATGGATTCAGTAAGTATTAATGGGGGGAGTGTAGTGAGACAGGTCATGTGATCATGTCAATGACTGAAGTGATCATAGTGATGAAATTAACTGTGGATTCAGTAAGTATTAGTGGGGGAGTGTAGTGAGACAGGTCATGTGATCTTGTCAATGACTGTAGTGATCATAGTGATGAACTTAGCTGTGGATTCAGTAAGTATTAGTGGGGGGGGGGGAGTGAAGTGAAACAGGTCATGTGATCATGTCAATGACTGAAGTGATCATAGTGATGAAATTAACTGTGGATTCAGTAAGTACTAGTGGGGGAGTGTAGTGAGACAGGTCACATGATCATGTCAATGACTGTGGTGATCATAGTGATGAACTTAACTGTGGATTCAGTAAATATTAGTGGGGAGTGTAGTGAGACAGGTCACATGATCATGTCAATGACTGTAGTGATCATAGTGATGAACTTAACTGTGGATTCAGTAAGTACTAGTGGGGGAGTGTAGTGAGACAGGTCATGTGATCATGTCAATGATATTGGAGATAAGAGTGATGAACTTGTGGGGGGAGTATAGTGATACAGATCATTTGATCATGTTAATGAATCTGGAGATTTGAATGATGAACTTACCTGTTGATTCAGTAAGTACTTGTGGGGGGAATGTAGTGATACAGGTCATGTGATAATGTTAATGAATGTAGAGATTTGAATGAAGAACTTACCTGTTGATTCAGTAAGTACTTGTGGGGGGAATGTAGTGATACAGGTCATGTGATAATGTTAATGACTATGGGGATGGGAGTATAGTGATACAGGTCATTTGATCATGTTAATGAATGTGGAGATATGAGTGACAAACTTAACTGTGGATTCAGTAAGTACTTGGGAGGGGGGGGGGATGTGACAAATTTGAGGGGAGTTACACAGACCCAGATATCATTATCATACTTTTTTCATAATAATTCTTAAATGTTAATATCTGACCTAATTATATAATTTAAGGTACTACAACTGCTTCCCCAACATGTGCTAGTTACCAGTTCAGATGTAATAGTGGACAATGCATACAAAAACATCAACAGTGTAATGGTCATGAGGACTGTTTTGACTCTAGTGATGAAATTAACTGTCGTAAGTAGAAATACATATCATACTTTGATTGGCCAATTGGAACCAAACTAGACCATAATTTGTCAACCAACATGGTTGCCAAGGCTAAAAATAGAACATGGGAGTAAAACGAAAGTATTGTCCATTATCTTTAAAACTGTTATAGATATGGCAGAAAAGTTCAGAATAGCAAGTTCCACCACCTACTGTCAAGTTTGACCAAAACTGACAGACAACTCCTTATAGGCATAGATCAAATTGTCTATCGATTCCTGAAAGTAGTTATTGCCCTTGAAAGACAAACTACCCATTTTTGTTTATTTGTAGGAACTAGAGTTGATTGAAATTGTAAACTTCAAAATGATCTAGAGGAGATTTACAAATAAGTCCATATGGACAAAATCATAAATTGGAATTTAACATGCCTGAAATTGTCAGTGAACTGCCTATAGGAGTTTTTGCCCTTGCAAGATGGTTTGAACAATGTTTTGATTGTTATATTTGGAAACTTTGTAGACACAGAGAAACTGTTTACAGCAAAATTCATCATCAGGACAATATTTTCAAATAAGCTAACATGTCCAAAATTGTCATTTGACTCCTAATAGGAGTTATTGCCCTTGAAATGACAATTTTACCATTTTTTGAGAGAATTTGTTTACAGCTAAAATGATAATCAGGACAAGATTTACAAATAAGCCAAATGGGCATAATCATCAGTCCACTCCTTACATTTTTGCGTCTGTCCCAAGTCAGGAACCTCTGGCCTTTGTTATTCTTTTTTATGCCCCCGCCGTAGCGGTGGGGGCATTAAGTTTTACCCTTGTCCGTCTGTACGTACGTACGTACGTCCGTCCGTACGTCCCAAAATTGGTTTCCGTTCTCTAACTTGAGTTTGCCTCAACCAAATGTTATGAAACTTATACACAATGCTTATTACCACAAAACACAGATCAAGTTTGAATTTTGGTGGCGTCACTTTAACCGTTCTAGAGTTATGCCCCTTTATAAATGGAAAAATTGCAAAATTTTTAGTTTCCGTTCTTTAACTTAAGTTTGCCTCAACCAAATGTTATGAAACTTATATACAATGCTCATTATCACAAAACACAGATCAAGTTTGAGTTTGGTGGCGTCACTTTAACCGTTCTAGAGTTATGCCCCTTTATAAATGGAAAAATTACTAAATTTTTAGTTTCCGTTCTTTAACTTAAGTTTGCCTCAACCAAATGTTATGAAACTTATATACAATGCTCATTATCACAAAACACAGATCAAGTTTGAAATTTGGTGGCGTCACTTTAACTTTTCGAGAGTTATGCCCCTTTATAAATGGAAAAATTGCTAAATTTTTAGTTTCTTCTAAATTTCAAGTTATTTTTTTTTAAATTGGAGTTATCTACCTTTGTCCATGATTATAGTTGAATCAACTACAATCAATGCTTTATACAATGCAATGTTTAATTTTGACTTCCACTGATAAAACACAGATCAAGTTGAATTTGGGTAGTGTCACTTTAACCATTATTGAGTTATGCCCCTTTATAAATAGAAAAATTGCTGAATTTTTAGTTTCTGTTCTCTACTTAAGTTAGCCTCAACCAAATGTTATGAGACTTACACACAAAACTCAGATCAAGTTCAAATTTGTGTAGCATCACTTTTACTGTTCTTCAGTTATGTCCGTTTATAACTATATGATATGCAAGCGGGGGGCATCATCTGTGTCCACATGTGGACACTATCCACATTTATTTTTTTAAAATTTTGGTCCATTTATATGTTTTGGAGTTTAGTGTGACCTCCATTTTCACTGAACTAGTATACATTATTGTTTAGAGGCCAGCTAAAGCCTGCCTCTGGCTGCAGGATTTTCTCGCTGTGTTGAAGACCCACTGGTAGCCTTGGGCTGTTTTCTGCTCTTTGGTCGGGTTGATGTCTCTTTTACAATTTCCCTGATTCCATTCTTAATTTTAGAAATTGCAGAAATGATCATCAAGACGAATTACAAATAATTTGACCTGTCTGAAATTGTCACTTGACTCCTTATAGAATTTAATGCCCTTGAAAGAAGATTTTTACCTATGTTTTTTTGTTAAATCACGAGTAGATAGAAAGAAAATGTTGACAGCAAATACAATCTACTCTTTTTATGACTTCGTATTGCAGCTTCTCAGTAAAAAAGAAAATAAGCTGACATTCTCCTTTAATGATAATCCTAAGTTTTGTATATTGATAATGTTCTCTCACTAAATAATTCAAAGTTTGGTGACTTCGTTAAACACATCTGTCCCATCAAAACTTTAAATGAAGGATACCTCAGATACAGTTAAGTCTGCCTTATATCTTGACTTACAGCTAGAAATTGACAATGAAAGTCTTTTGAGAACAAACTTTACAACAAAAGAGTTGATTTCAGCTTCCTTATTGTTAATCTTTCGTTTCTATGTAGCAACATTCCAGCAACTTGTTTTTGGGTAAAGATTGCATGAAATGCAATCAAAACCCTAAGGTACTGATTTGACATCTATACCTTCCAAGGTTTATCTTTGATAGTTCAAACAAAATAGTGCAGTACATGAAGTGATCATTATTTAGAACTTATTCAGTCAATGTCATACAATTTATTGATGATATGTTATACTTTGATATTTGATATGTAAGTTACAATATGATGTGTATTTGAATTACAATACTTGTCAAGAAAACATTTTAATATTAAAAATTACATAAGTAATGCATGGTGTATGAATCTCTTATAAAAAGAGGTTCAACTACAAATGTGCAATCATGAACAAAGGAAGATAACTCCAACTCAAATTTTTAATTTGCCTAGCAAAATACAATTCAATGTTTTATTTACAAATTCATAGAATTGCAAAATGTAAGCAATCTTTACCCGTCAGTGCTCTCAAGCACTTTGATTACTTTCATGATTTCCTTGATAAAGGGAGCTTGCAAGATGTTTCAAGCTGACACCAATGGCTCTTTCGTTAATATTTTGGACAAGGCATGATGCTAGGGGGCGTCTTAAGCTTGCAGTGAGGTGAGAGTTTTTTGTTTTTTTTTCCTCCATGTTGAAGGCCTCATATTACTTTGAGATGAAGAACAGCAACAAAAGCGCTGTTCCTTTGCTTTTTGTGTGTTTTTTTGCTGTGCATGTATTGATTTTGTGTTATGGATGGATACCCCATATCCTTTGTTTTTTCTATTATGATAAATACTACATTCAATATTATTTATTCATTCAAAAACAAGCATGCATCTCTGAACTAGAACATTTTAATTACAACGTGAACAGTTCTGTATGTAGTGTTTGTTCTGTGAAGTTTCAAGCAGATCCTTAGTGACAATTTCTTTATTCCATTAAACTATGATGATACATTCATATAAAGCTCTTGCTTCCAGTCGTTATATATTCTATATCCGTCAGTTGCCCATAAAATATTTAAATATTGTCAGAAATCAGTGTATAGTAAAAAAGTTTTTCTGGTATGGGAATGATATGAATCAAACGCATTAGGGATTAAGTAACCAAAATTGTTTTTAACATGAACTCCTGCTTTTGAATTGGTAACATTTTAATTTTCGTTGTTTAATTTTAGGTACATGTAGTGAATCTCAGTTTCAGTGTAAAGATAATTCCTGTATTGAAGCTAGGGATCTGTGTGATGATTACCCTGACTGTGAAGGAGGAGAAGATGAACTCAACTGTACAGGTAACCAATAACATTTGTTTTTAATGGGGACTGAAAACAACTTTACAGGTAACCAGTAACTTTAATTTTATGCTATTCATCCTTTAAAAACAATTAAAATTCAGAATAAGTAGCAACTAAAATATTCTGAAAAAATAAATTATTGTGAAAATAAGTAATCACATTCTTTTTTAGTTGTCTTTATATTGTTATTAATTACTAAAATAAAATCATATTGTTATTTTCCATTTTTATACGACCGCAAAAAAATTTTGTGGTCGTATATTGGTATGACGTTGGCGTCGTCGTCGTCGTCGTCGTCGTCGTCGTCGTCCGGCGTCGTCGTCCGAATACACAATGGTTTTCGCACTCTAACTTTAGTTTAAGTGAATGGATCTCTATGAAATTTTACCATAAGGTTCAATACCACAATAGGAAGGTGGGGGTTATGGTACCAACAGTTAAATAATTAGGGGCCAAAAAGGGGCTGAAAATAAGCATTTTTGTAACTTCCAGACATAACTTGTGTGTTATTGTATGGATCTCTTTGACATTGTACTACAAGATTCCATATCACAAAGGGTCGATGATGGGATTGATTTTGGGGTTAATTTCCTCGAAATTTTAGGAATAAGGGGCCAAAAGGGGGCAAAAAACAAGCATTTTTCTAGTTTCATGACAATAACTTGTGTGTAAGTGTATGGATCTTTCTGAAATTTTACTACAAGGTTCCATTTCGCAAAGGGAAAGCTGGAATTGAGTTTTGTGGTAATTGCCCAAAACGTTTAGTAATAAGGGGCCTAAAAAGGGGTGAAAAATAAGCATTTTTTAGTTTCTAGACAATAACTTGTGTTCAAGTGTATGGATCTCTCTAAAATTGTATTACAAGGTACCATACCACAAAGGCAAGGCTGTTATTGAGCTTGGTTTGGGGGGGGAAGGGGGGGTGATGAATCATAGGGGGGGGGGGGTCAAAAAAGGGGTAATTATTTTTTTTCGTTTAAGGAATAAGGGGAAAAAAGGTTAAAAAACTAGGGTTTCCATTTTAATAGACAAATAATTGAGTAAAGAACATTATTTAAAAGCAGTGTAAGGTTGGTAATTCAAACTCATTTAAATATCTCACCTGCACTATGTTTGAATTATGTAAATTGGAAATTTGCCAATTATTTTAGTATAATAAACTTCATTGGAAATTTGCCAATTTTATATTGGAAATTTACCAATAGTTTGTTTATTTTTAGCTATGACTATGATGTCATTTTCTATTTAATTTTAAGGTTACAAATTAATTTCAGTTTTAAATATTATTGTAAAATGTTTGCCCAAAACATTTATTAATAAGTGGCCAAAAAAGGGGGCAAAAATAAGCATTTTTTTAGTTTCCAGACATTAACTTGTGTTCAAGTGTATGGATTTCTCTGAAATTGTACTTAAAGGTACCATACCACAAAGGGAAGTGGGTCAAAAAATTTTGGGGGGGGGGATTTTTTTTCCTTTTTTTTTTCTTTAAAATTTTCCATTTTAAGTTGGTTAATTCTGATCACAAAGAGAAAGTTGGAATTGAGTTTGGGGGATAATTGCTCAAATGTTTAGGAATAAGGGGCTAAAAAAGGGGTTAAAAATAAGCATTTTTTTTTAGTTTCCAACAATTAATTGGATCTCTGTGAAATTGTACTGCAAGGTACCATACCACAAACTGAAGGCTGGGATTGAGTTTGGGGGGGCGTGATGTGTGAAAATTTTCCACTTAAAGTTGGTTAATTATTTCTGATTTAGATATAAAAGCAAATAATAATGATGTGGTTTGATTTTATCAAAAACTTAAATTGAAGTTATGTATATTGTAAATTTAGGTTACATTGGAATTTAAGAATTGGCTTTGGGGTAGGGTTATGGCTCAAACCTTTAAATAATAAGGGAAAAAAAGGTGAAAAAACAAGGGTTTCCAGGTTGATAGACAAATAAGTACAAAACATTATTTAAAAGCAGTGTAAGGTTGGTAATTCAAACTCATTTAAATATCTCACTTACACTGCTTTTAAATTATGTAAATTGGAAATTTGCCAATAACTTTATTGTTAATAAATGCATTGGAAATTTGCCAACAATTTTAGTATAATAAACTTCATTGGAAATTTGCCAATATAAAATTTTGCTGATGAAGGTTTTTTGTTTACCTTTAGCCTTGACTATGAAGTCATTTTCTATTTTTATAGCCTTATGATGTAGTTGAATTATTTAATACTTTTATGATGTGTTTAAATGGGGTTTTATGGTTGCAAATTTATTGTTTTAGTTTAATAAACTCCATTTAAAATTTGGTAATAAAAAAAAATTTTGTTTATTTTTAGCTATGATTATGATGTCATTTTCTATTTTACTTTTATGGTTGCAAAGAAATTTTTATTTTTAGATATTACTGTTAAATGATGCTGATTAAGGTTTTTGCTATGTTTAGCCATGACTATGATGTCATTTTCTATTTTAATATCTGTCATGATGTATTTAAATGGGCTTTTATGGTTACAAAGGAATTTTATTTTTAGATATTACTGTAAAATGTTGCTGATTAAGGATTTTGTTTATTTTTAGCCATGACTATGATGTCATTTTCTATTTTAATACCTTTATTATGTAATTTCCATTTTTAGATATTACTGTTAAATGATGCTGATTGAGGGTTTGAATGCTGGGATTGATTTTGGGGGTAATTGCCTCCAAATTTTAGGAATTAGGGGGCAAAAAACAAGCATTTTTCTAGTTTCATGACAATAACTTGTGTGTAAGTGTATGGATATTTATGAAATTGTACTACAAGGTTCCATATCACAAAGGGAAAGCTGGAATTGAGTTTGGGGGTACTTGCCCAAAACGTTTAGGAATAAGGGGCCAAAAATAAGCATTTTTCTAGTTTCCAGACAATAACTTGTGTTCAAGTGTATGGATCTCTCTGAAATTGTACTGCAAGGTACCATACCACAAAGGGAAGGCTGGGATTGTTTTTGGGGGTAATTGTCTCAAAATGTTAGGAATTAGGGGCCATAAAGGGGCAAAAAAACAAGCATTTTTCTAGTTTCATGACAATAACTTGTGTGTAAGTGTATGGATCTTTATGACATTGTACTGCAAGGTTCCATATCACAAAGGGAAAGCTTGGTTTGAGTTTGGGGGTAATTGCCCTAAACTTTTAGGAATTTGGGGCCAAAAAGGTGCAAAAAACCCAAGCATTTTTCTAGTTTCCAGACAATAATTTGTGTTCAAGTGTATGGATCTCTCTGAAATTGTACTGCAAGGTACCATACCACAAAGGGAAGGCTGGGATTGAGTTTGGGGGTGATGAATCATAAGGGGGTTTCAAAAAATTTGGGGGGGGGGGATTTTTTTTTCCTTTTTTTTCTTTAAAATTTTCCATTTTAAATTGGTTATTTCTGATTTATATATAAAAGCAAATAATAATGATATGGTTTGAATAGGTAAATTAAAAAATTTTAAGTTCTTAGACTACTTTCATTCTGTGTGAGAAACCTATGCTGTGTCAAATATTTAATTACAATCCAAATTCAGTGCTGTATCAAGCTTGAATGTTGTGTCCATACTTGCCCCAACTGTTCAGGGTTCGACCTCTGCGGTCGTATCAAGCTGCGCCCCAGCGGAGCATTTTATTGAATTTGGTCAACCATCAAAGATTTCAATTCAAGTGTGTAGTAAAATAAGAATAATATATTATTTGAAGACAATCTTTTCAATAATACTGTGATATAGCAAGAAAAAAATAGTCAGAACTTCATTGAAACCCCAGTGTCAGTATGATTTCATTTATTTGTTTTAGGTTTAATGCTGTATACTTGCTGTATTTAAAATACTATTTACAAAGAACAAATGTTTCATTCATAATATTTTGAATAATGTCCCATATAGAAAGTTTTCCATTGACATAATTTCATTGGAGTTATTTCCCTTTGGCGGCCATGTTTAGGGCATATTGTATGATTTTAATATTTGACAAACCAACTTTGAACTTGTAGTACAAGCAAGTCTAATAAAAGATTCTTACTACCGGTAGATAATTGTTATGAATTAAATGTGTTTAAATAAATAAAAATAGATATGAAAATATTCAAATTTTAAAGTAAATTTGGATTTTATTAGATAAATACTTACCATCATAAATTCTGAGTGTAACCCCAATTGCGTCATAGGTCAGATGGAAAATCCCGACTAAAAATAAACGTACTCTCACTGGTCCGGACATATACCCCTGTTTGCCCATATTCTCCCATTCAATTTCCTCAAGACAGAAACGTAGGGAAAGGGGATGAAGGGGAGGTGGGTGGGACCTATAATTTATGATGGTAAGTATTTATCTAATAAAATCCAAATTTACTTTAAAATTTGAATATTTTATAGCTATAAATACGTTACCATCATAAATTCTGAGTAACAGAATCTAACGTAAAGCTGAATCCCCTGTAACAGAAGAAACAGGAGGAAAGTTCAATCTTTGTGCTGAAACTATAGGTCCAAGAGAGTATAAACTCTCGGCAAAAGTAGCCAAAGATTGGAGGTAATGAGATATAAAAGAGTTCTCATTTCTCCAGAAACCTGCAGACAGTACCTCTTCTAAAGATGCACTGTTAAACAGAGCCCAGGATGTAGAGATACCCCTAACATCATGAGCTTTAACATTAAAACTATTTAAAAGTTCTGACTTAGAAGAACCATAAGCTAAAGATATGCATTTGCATATCCAAGTAGAAATAGTTTTAACAGAAAGATCTGAGATTCCTTTTTTAATAGGAATAAAGAGTCTTGAGTTAGAAACAGAACGTAAACTACTCGTTCTATCCAGATAAATAGAAAGGATTCTTACTGGACATAAAAGTACAGAAATAGAATCGCTAGGGAGTGCAGGAATCACGACTGATTCTGCACCCTTATCTGGAATCTGATTCTTTGCCAAAAAAGCAGGATCCGTTAAAAGAGTAACAGAAGATTTATCCCTGTTAAATCGAAGGCAA